CGATCCACGCAACTGGGATACGATGTCCATGCATCAACCAAGTCAGCGAGCCTGACCACCCGTTAGTCGCTTCTTACTACAAGCATATGCATAGTCGCCTTTTACGGCAAACATGGGTTGCTGAAGACCTATTCTAAACCGGATCTTCATGGGTCCGGGAATTGTTAAATACGACAGGGGCGTGATATATGAACCACTTTTTCATATTACCCAAGGCTTTCATCTTCAGATCAATTGAAGAAAATTATGGTTGTACGACTAGAGATACCTTTTCGTGTGTCCTGTCCAAAGCAGAAAATCGACATCAAACCAAGATCTTGTGATTTAGATAATGACTCCAAGTAATAGGTGATGTTACCAGACCAGACCGAGATCCTGACCCACACCTTGACTGGGTCAAATGAAAGCAGTGCAGCAAACGGACGTATCGATCTAACGCAACGTCGCGCACGTGGACCCTGACTATCAGGAACGCTTCCTGTAGTGTTAGTCCTGTACGTCTTGTTCTACTCGTCTTCCCAAGGCAAGGGAGTTAACTGACTATGGAAGTGCAGTTTCCACCCTTACCGTTCTAGGCTGGACTTCCGGGGTTACATTTTGGCAGGACTAACGAGTCTTTGCATAATCCAAACAAAATTGCGTAACGAACTAGGCATCCGGTTCGTTAACATCATGGATTTCACGTGCAGATTTCGGTCGACTAAAGGATTTGCAAAGCATGTATACCGCCAAGTGGGCGTTGATAGATACTTTGCAAATCATTTCATGTTTCTAATCAAGGTGCTCAAGTGATTTGATGGACTTGGCGAGGTGAGGCCCGTTTTATTACCATACAGATTTTGATTATTGATCAAATCGTCTTGACTGGGTGCTGCCATTTTGTTTGAAGCAATTGCAAGTGATATGAGAGGTGGAATCTGATTGGTCTATAGGAGGGACATAACTCGTAATTGCCACTGGTGGCGCTACGATCGAGCCCGGAAATTCAAGTCTAGTACAGCAATGATGGAAACTACATTTTTATCGTCAGTTAACGCCCTTGCCTTGGAAAGATGGGTACTACTGATCGATGGGCGAACTGTAAAACTTGTGGAAACACAGCGTTGTTAACTTGGTTCCTGGTTCTTATCCACATCGCCAGCAACGTGCCAGGTCTGTTTATGCAGGGCCTGGATGCGTATAGATGGCACGTGGTAAACAAGGCATGTTGCTTTATCTTAATGCCCATCGTGTTGGGCTCTTAACGTTATGTTCCCCAGCTCTGAAAAATCCCCCGAAGTGGTAAACGTCTGAGACCTGCATCACTACGGGCTTTCCTCCCACATTAAGCTGACACGCCTTGATGTAACTGGAATACTGTTTAAAGCGGCGTTAAACCCAACTCACTCACTCACTCACTGAAAAATCCCTGGATGTGAACGACGACCCTGTACTACAGTTATATGCTCATAAATGTCATGCTGGAAAATTAGACGTTGGTGTCACTACATTTGAGGTTTTAGCAATACACAATCTCCAAGTATATAGTTTTACTCATACCATTGGAAACAGACAAATCCGTATAAATGACACCATTTTTGTCACTGGTGCGTCACATTTTTGCCTCCGCATGTCTACTTTTTGGAAGTTCTTTTTGGCGGCGTTAGGCAATAAATACTTACTTATCTATGCAAATTGAGTGAATGGCGATGCAAGTGGTACGACAGGACATGCTTACCCTTTTCGCGAACACCCGACGTCATTACTGATTTTCAGGCGACCATTCATTAAATTTCACTGCTGTTTTGCCCTTTACGCCAAATGGAATCTGTAACGTGGGACAATCTAGACTGGTTATTCTCTTGCATTGACAACTTATATTTACTAATGGTTGGATGTTTTCAGATTTGCAGGTGTTATTGAGTAAATGTCAAGACATGTTAGCAGTCAATGAAACCTACGGAGAGTTGGTGTTTAATGCCGCAATATTCCAGCTATATGACGGCGGTCTGTAAATAATCAAGTCTGGACCAGACCATCCAGTGATTGACATCATGAGTATCGTTCCATGCAATTGAGATACGATGACATGCATCAACCAAGTCAGCTAGCCTGGCCACCCGATCCCGTTAGTCGCCTCTTACGTCAAGCAGAGTCGCCTTTCACGACAAGCATGGTTGATGAAGACCTATATTACCCCGGATCTTCACTCCTCATTCTATTTTGGTGATTTTGTCCACATGTGAGACATTTCTTCTAGTTTCATTGTTTCCTTTGTCAGATAATTGAAGCACCAGATCGTTAGACATGTCGCATCTGCAGTAAGCTCCAGGTGTAGAGGTGGCAGCATGGTCATTCAGTTACAACTCAAGTCTAATCTCGTTAATAACGAACTACGTGTATGTCGCATGATCTAAGTAACTGCCTTAATTGCGAAAATAATGTTCATGTATATAGAGTTGCTCAAGTTTAAAAAATGATCAGCGTGTGTGTGTGTGTGTTTGTGTCTGTGTGTGTGAGTGTGTGTGTTTGTGTCTGTGTGTGAGTGTGTGTTTGTGTCTGTGTGTGTGTGTGTTTGTGTCTGTGTCTGTGTGTGTGAGTGTGTGTTTCTCTTTCTCTCTCCTTCTCTCCCTCTTTTCTCTCCTCTCTTTTCTCACTCACTCCCTCTTTTGTCTCTCTCGGTGTGCGTGTGTGTGTGTGTGTGTGTGTGTGTGTGTGTGTGTGTGTGTGTGTGTGTGTGATGAAAGATGCAAAAGACATATTCGTGTCAACAAAGACATGATGTAGCAGTAAGTCACTTGATACGAATATGTACCAGTCGCGGATGTCGATTTTGTGAAACGTTCTCTGATTGGACTATCGATATATGAAATAGTCCAATCATATATAGCACAGGAAACTGGGCTTGATGTGGCAAGGGTGGAAACAAGACTTTGATCATAAGGCTAGTGGATGCTAATGCCTCGGGAAGATGAGGAGGAACATAAGACGGATTTTATATACATGCAAGTGTTGCGTGTACCTCTACTGGTGGAGAAACAATAACTTTCCTGCTACAGCCGCTTAATAACAGGGAGGAGGAGTGATGTGCAGATTGACAGACACATTCTTGTCAACACAGACTCGTTGAACAGATACGGCCTTTGAAAGCAGCACGATGCTCACTTCCACAGTTTCCACTTTCAGAAAAAACCAGCGTCACGATGTTCACCCGTATTGTCACCGTTACACCTTGTGCATACAGAGACGAAATGTGGCCGTACGTTGGCAATTAACACCCTATACATGGGGGAACAATTAACTGGAGTGACTGAAAATATATGTTGACGCGTTCAGGAATCTGGGGTGTAGCAGTAAAACAGTCTTCACCCTTCCCTCACACTACCCTATAGCATGACTGAACTTTTCACTTTTGCTTCACCTCACCGTCACCGTCAACGATATATATTGTTCACTATATAATCTTTCGTTCAGAAACTATCCCTGGTATCCATGTCAGCAGTTGGTTATTTAGATCATAGTCTCACCCATTTGATCGACAAACGCGATTAGCTGTGCAGAGTTGCCTCCCTTGGGCACGCCAGGAACCTATGATTGTGGGTTCGAATCCCGGTTCGCCCCGATTATGTTTCTAGGTTTGTCAGCACCATACCCGTGCTCGTTGGTTTCACCGAAGTGGTAAACGTCTGAAACCTGCATCACTTCGGGCTTTCCTCCTTCATTAAGCTGACACGACGTGATATAACTGGAATACTGTTAAAAGCGGCGTTAAACCCAACTCACTCACTCGTTACATCGTCTGCCAACGACTTAAGGCACAGCCTATTGTTAACTAGTGAATATGTCACCTAATCTTTCAGCGAGATATCATACAAGGTAGATGTTTCTTAAAATGTATTTAAGAAACCGTCACTTCGGCGACAACTAACAGGAAACTCGACCACAGTATACTGAGATGAGGTGAGGTGAAATAGGATATAACGTCGCGTTCACTATTATTGCACTTATATAGCGATGTTCATGTACGTGTGTGTCTAGTGGCTTGTTTTCGGACCCAGGGCGCTTATCCACTGAGGTACTATGTTGAAGTTTAACATGGATACAACACTCACACTCCTTGTTTTATCCCCTTAATACCGAACACCTGAAGCATGGGAAGGAAGAATCCATGAAACGTCTTCACACAAAATATAGAAACTGTATCACGTTCTTGCTCTTCCCACTTCTAAGACTTGGTATTGCTGTTTTCATTAAGTATGGAGCACTCAGCCACCACCTTGGACAGAGCGATAACCCCGTCAAGTTGAGAGTGAGTGAGTTGGGTTTAACGCCGCTTTTAACAGTATTCCAGTTATATCGCGGCGTGTCAGCTTAATGTGGGAGGAAAGTCCGAAGTGATGCAGGTCTCAGACGTTTACCACTTCGGTGAAACCCACGAGCACGGGTATGGTACTGACAAACCTAGAAACATAATTGGGGTGAACCGGGATTCGAACCCACAATCATCGGTTTCTGGCGTGCCCAATGGCCGCAACCCATGCCCCCGTCAAGTTGAGAGAAAAAAGGTGTTGGTAGGGATTAAACTTCTCTTTTGGGATTAATCTGATGCTGAATTAGGACTGGTTCCAGGTCGAAGCTGACGCCTGGTTTATAGGTGTGTAACATGGAGATATTGGACTCTTGACAGATACAGTTTATCAAGGGAATCATGCTATTCTGTTTCAGGTAGAGTTAAATACATTAGGTTAACTCTTGGTTCCGTGACCCTATCAATAACCACACGATCCACAATGTCAAGGTCCGTCTGGCGACCAGGTCTTCATGGTGACCTCAGCGAGCAATGATAAACCTGACTTCAGTATTTGCATCCAGACAGTGGTGGTTGTCACACACACTATAGGCAAGACATATGTGAATTCACCTCTTTATGATCGCAGTCATGCAATGGAGATTTCTTAAAATCTTGCGATTGATTTCTGTCGCTTTTATTTACACCTGACATGAAAAAAACATCCAGTCTAAACATATATTTTATTTTAGAAAGCTTATATAAATTGTCATGAAGCGAAATATATGTGAACATATTTTTTATAAAGTGATGGTTTCAGACAATCATGAACAGTCACTATTTAGCTGGAAACCATAAGATTACTGAGATTTACGTTATACATATATTCTTATCATAATTCTCATTTAGACAAGTGACAAACAATATTGAAACAAAAATTATTTCAGAATATATTACAGAATAAAATATATTAAAAAATACTGGGAAATGGTAATTTATGCTTAGATTTACAAAAGTGGATGTTACACTATTCGATTCCCTCTTTCACAGAAGTAAAAAGAGTATTTTGAAACGGTGAAAAATTCCTCCATCCAGAAAAGTAGGTTTCTAAGCGGTAGCAGCTTCCCCAAATAGACTGAGGCATTTTGTCTTGGAGCTCAGCCTTGGAGATATACTTCGTGTTGGAGAGTGGAGTTAGTGTCATTAATGCCCTTCATACAACATTATCCCGTTTGAATGCTTCTTTTCGAATCCAGGTTTACTCATCTTCTTCTGTGAGGTATCTGATACAGACACGTATTCATCATCAGCAGCTGAAACTTTCTTCTGATCCACAGGTGGTGGAGGTGGCTGAAGTTTGTCAAGAGGAATGTATGGACTGTCAGATGAGTTACTTTCACTTTGAGGTTTGGTGTTTGTGTTGTGTCCCCGGGGGCTTGTAGAGTCGTTATGAAGCTGAAGTTTGTCAAGAGGAATGTATGGACTGTCAGATGAATTACTTTCACTTTGAGGTTTGGTGTTTGTGTTGTGTCCCCGGGGGTTTGTAGAGTCGTTATGAAGCTGAAGTTTGTCAAGAGGAATTTGAGGACTGTCAGATGAATTACTTTCACTTTGAGGTTTGGTGTTTGTGTTTTGTGCCCGGAGGCTTGTAGAGTCGTTATGAAGCTGAAGTTTGTCAAGAGGAATTTGAGGACTGTCAGATGAATTACTTTCACTTTGAGGTTTGGTGTTTGTGTTTTGTGCCCGGAGGCTTGTAGAGTCGTTATGAAGCTGAAGTTTGTCAAGAGGAATGTGGGGACTGTCAGATGAATTACTTTCACTTTGAGGTTTGGTGTTTGTGTTGTGTCCCCGGAGGCTTGTAGAGTCGTTATGAAGCTGAAGTTTGTCAAGAGGAATGTGAGGACTGTCAGATGAATTACTTTCACTTTGAGGTTTGGTGTTTGTGTTGTGTCCCCGGAGGCTTGTAGAGTCGTTATGAAGCTGAAGTTTGTCAAGAGGAATGTGAGGACTGTCAGATGAATTACTTTCACTTTGAGGTTTGGTGTTTGTGTTGTGTCCCCGGAGGCTTGTAGAGTCGTTATGAAGCTGAACGCTGCCAAGAGGAAGGTATGGACTTGTCCCGGAATGAGTGTTCGTGGTCATCTCCTGTCCTGTTATGGAGTCTTCCTGACGCTGAGATCGGACATAGAGGGCGTCACTGACCGACAAATGGAGCTCCAGATAACTATCCTTAAAACTGATAGATGCTTCAGTTCCATCAGTAATGGACTCATCAGTCTTCTCACGCTCCTCTCCTGAACATGAGAGGTCAACAGGCTTACCTGGTTTAAGGTCTATTTCCATCTGTTGAAAAGTTTCTAGATCTGGGTCGGGTCCTTCAGTTGTTTCATGCACAGTATCATGGGCGTTCATTTTACCTACAGGTGTGAGTTGGAGTGTATTGTCTGTATTGGTCTTCTTGTCTGATACTGGCGTTTCTTCTTTCGGGTGACTGAATGTGGCGTATTGTAGTGAAGGTGTTTCTTCTCTGTCATCGTTATTTTTTCTTTCTTTAGTTAAGTCCTCAACCTGTAGAACAAAGACGTGATGTTAAATGTTGGTCAAAAGGATACACTACAACTAATAAACACATATTTTAGCAGTAAATTACTTTGCACTATGTATGTATATGCAGGTAAAGATTGTTGTGTCGTATCTGTTGTTTTAAATTCTGATTGTCGAATGGTGGCACATTTTACAATGCATTTACTCTCCTTAGGCGCCCCACATCCCAATATATATTGGTTCGAATCCATAGGTTTGTTAGCACCATACCGTGCTCATGGGTTTTACAAAAGTGTAAACATCTAAGATCTGCGTCACTCCGGCCTTTCCTCTTACAATCAAGCCGACACACTGTGATATGACTGAAATACTATTCAAAGCGATGTTAAACAGTAGCCACTTAAATCTAGTGACATATCAGGTTTCCCAATACAATTTCACTGCACTATAACACTTATGGCTATCGGTGTCCGAAACTTACCCGAACTAATTGCGGCAGTGTGATGTCCAAAGACATACTCTTGTATTTACTATGGATGTACCTGGAAAGACAATACAGTAGTCTAGTAGAATAGTCCTCAGCAACCCATGCTTGCCGTAAAAGGCGACTATGCTTGTCGTAAGAGGCGACTAACGGGATCGGGTGGTCAGGCTCGCTGACTTGGTTGATGCATGTCATTGATCCCCATTGCGTGGATGGATGCTCATGATGTCTGGTCCAAACTCGATTATTAACAGACCGCCGTCATATAGCTGGAATATTGCTGAGTGCGGCGTTAAACAACAAACAAACAAGACAATAGTCTGTATTGTCAACATGCACTGGGCATGACTGGAATATTTCGATGCGGACATATATACTCACCGCCAAAAGAGACGCGACCCATAGAAACATGGAGAAGCATGTACGTTAAGAACACGTCTCCAATGTGTACCACTTAATGAAAAAACTAACAATCAGGCTAGTGTTACCACAGTGTCTTTATTCTTATCATGATATGCTGCACGTTATTTCCAAACTTTACACGCTAATGCTGCACAAGACAAATGGTGCATCTCGAACCATGGATCTATGACGTCACATGTGATGCGTTCACGAGCGTTGGTTCACACAACATGACAGTATGTTCGTTCGTGCATCGAATCTAATACCTCTTGAATATGAGTAATTCTTCATGTATTAACAAACATGTTTGGTATTCGCGTATCTCAGCGATATGCACCTGTGCATGTATCAGACATGGTGGTTGTGCGAGCCTCGGGAACATGGACATATAACAGGACAATGACTTGAAACAGTACATTTTGGATAGACACATTGTACAAAATATTCTAATCTAAATCTGATCATCCATGAATACTTTGTTGCATAATGGATCTTGCTTTTTCATATGATCTCCGTTATCTGTCTTCAAGATTGACTACCACCAACCCTCTCTGCTTAAGGACCAGGGCCCCGTTCCGCAAAGCGATCTTAGCGCCACGATTGTCGTAAGTCAGTGTTAAAGAATGGGAGTTACGAGCGACTTAGCGCTAAGATCGCTTTGTGGAACGGGGCCCTGCACAGAGTCTGTAGGGGCGGTCGGGTAGCCTAGTGGTTAAAGCGTTCGCTCGTCAACCGCGAAGACCCGGGTTCGATTCCCGACATTGGTACAATGTGTGAAGCCCATTTCTGGTGTCCCCCGCCTTGATATTGCATGAATATTGCTAAAAGCGGCGTAAAATCAAACTCACTCACTCACTCACAGAGTCTGTAAATGTAATGTAATATGTGAGTTGAGGTGAAATGGGGTTTAACGTCGCATCCAAGATTATTGCATATATACCGACGTGCATGCATGCGGACTGATGCCGATTTATAGTGTTAGTCCACTGAGATACCACGCCACAGTTTAACATGAATATCCCAAAGTATACTGAATAAAGGCCAACTAGTCCTTGTTTTAGCCCCTTGATGACGAGCGCCAGACAGGAGACGCGAGCGCCAGACAGGGGACGCGACCGGGGATCGAACCCCGGACCTTCCGCTGTAAATTTGTGACTTGAAACTCCACAGTCTCTGCTCAGATCCGAGCAAATTCTGACCACTGGACAATATATACTGAACAACAAAAGTTCCTGTGACACTGAATAAGATTTAATGAGGCCGGGCGTTGTCGTGTTGAAAGGTAATGCCTGGGCCATGACGACGCAAAAACGGTAGAACAACAGGGCCGATGATCTCGTCGCGGTAGCTTATTCCATTGCGATAACCCTCTACCACTATCAAACGGGTCCTCTGTCTTGCTGTAATCCCACCCCATACCATAACGCTGCTGCCCCCGAACAGATCTTCTTCCATGACACAATGATTGACGTAACGTTCACCTCGACGTCGGTACACTCGAATCCGTCCATCGCTGTGGCTGGGGCGAAAACGAGACTTGTCAGTGAATAGAACTTGTCCCCACTGTATGGCCGACCAGCGTAGACGCTGTCTGCACCACTGTAGACGTGCTTGACTGTGGTTTCCTGTCAAAATGGGACGGCTGGCAGGTCTTCTGGCGACAATACATGCACATCTGAGGCGGCGACGTACGATTTGTGAAGATATTCGTGGAAGGCCAGGGATGCTTCTTGCAGTCACTGTTGCTGGCTGGAATCGATTCCGTACATGTAGTACAATATTGAAAACCAAACCTTACTTGTTTGAAAAATACACTAATATATTGCTGTAACAGGAACTTTTGTTGTTGAGTACAGTAGAAGAACAATCCAAAGTATTGCCATTGGGGCATGGATATATGGAACATTGTGGTTCTGGAAAAGTACCCTGAGTGAGTGAGTGGTTGAGTGAGTGAGTGGTTGAGTGAGTGAGTGAGTGAGTGGTTGAGTGAGTGGTTGAGTGAGTGAGTGAGTGAGTGAGTGAGTGGTTGAGTGTTTGAGTGAGTGAGTGAGTGAGTGAGTGTGGTTTTATGCCACTTTTTTACCAATATTATTATGGCGGGAGATACCGAGAGACACCAAAAAAATGTGTTTCACACATTGTACCCATATCGGTATTCAAACACGGGTCGGCGCGACGAGCTAACCCTCAAGCTACCCGACCGCCCCTGAGGGAGTGAGGATTATTTCAGGTCGTACGCTAATTTCAACACTTGCCGTACGCAGTAGGTCAGTACACCAAGTAACACACAGACGCCAACCAATCCACCTACTATAATCCCAGCAATTTGTACATCAGTTAAATCTGTAAAACGAAAAGAAATAGAGCTGGTATATTGCCGAGTGCGGCGTTAAAACAACAAACAACACCAACAACTTACTCACAGAGGAATTCCAATCAAACTATATTCCTAAACAATATTTACATATTTATGGCGTCAATCTCTGGCCCCTCCCTGACCTCGACACAGCTCGGAGTGAGGTGTCACTCTCTGGTCAAATAAAGCAAAGGTAAGTATGTAACCCTTACCACTATTAACAACAACTCTGGTGATGGCTTCACTCTCTGGCCCCTCCCCTGACCTGGACACAGCTCGGAGTGTCACCCTGTACTTCACTCCTGCTGACAGACCCTGGATGACCTGACTTTTCTTTGTGGTGGACACATTGACCTGCACCGACGGACCTGAAGACATTAGAAACCATGTCCATATAGTAAATATAACACACATATGAACAGTTATGAGATAGCCCTGTAGAAGGCATGGAAATCACGTCAATTAATTAAATCCGCTTTAAACAGAGCTGTTTAATATGGAAAGAAAGCCCCGACGGCATAGACGTAAGCCTGTACATTAAGACCTGGGCCCACTTGCACAAAGCGATCTTAGCAACTTAACACTATCTTAGCACTCTAACAACTACTTAAGTTAGTCGTAACGCTAAGATCGCTTTGTGCAAGTGGGCTCGGTGTTCTTTACCAGAGCCTTCAACCAGACTGATCGCGGTATAATGAGGCATCATGCAGTGAGGCGTGCACGGGCTCCTTGAAACAGTAAATATATTATGGTTGTTGGCGGTATAGTGAGACATGGTGATGCACGGTTTAATATGACGGGCACCTACCTGCACATCCACCATGGTTGTTGGCGGTATAGTTAGACAGGGTGATGTAGGGTTAAGCTTGAAACGGGCACCTACCTGCACATCCGCCATGGTTGTTGGCGGTATAGTTAGACAGGGTGATGTAGGGTTTAGCTTGAAACGGGCACCTACCTGCACATCCACCATGGTTGTTGGCGGTAGAGTTAGACATGGTGATGTAGGGTTTAGCTTGAAACGGGCACCTACCTGCACATCCACCATGGTTGTTGGCGGTATAGTTAGACAGGGTGATGTAGGGTTTAGCTTGAAACGGGCACCTACCTGCACATCCACCATGGTTGTTGGCGGTATAGTTAGACATGGTGATGTAGGGTTTAACTTGAAACGGGCACCTACCTGCACATCCACCATGGTTGTTGGCGGTATAGTTAGACAGGGTGATGTAGGGTTTAGCTTGAAACGGGCTCCTACCTGCACATCCGCCATGGTTGTTGGCGGTATAGTTAGACAGGGTGATGTAGGGTTTAGCTTGAAACGGGCACCTACCTGCACATCCACCATGGTTGTTGGCGGTATAGTTAGACATGGTGATGTAGGGTTTAACTTGAAACGGGCACCTACCTGCACATCTGTCATTGTTGTTGGCGGTATAGTGAGACATGGCGATGCACAGTTTAGCTTGAAACGGGCACCTACCTGCACATCTGCCATGGTTGTTGGCAGTATAGTGAGACATGGTGACGCACGGTTTAACTTGAAACGGGCACCTACCTGCACATCCGCCATGGTTGTTGGCGATACAGTGAGACACCACATAATAGCTGACATAGATGGGAGTCTCGGCACAGACAAACTTGGTCCACTCCACGCTCAAGGCGTTGTCCGGCTGGTGGCTGGAGAAGACGACTCCACGTGGCGATGGTGGTACTTTGAACAGAGGGTATTTCGGGTCATTATATCATTATTGTTAGCTGAACAAAATAGGGAGTGAGTGAGTATGGTTTTACGCCGCCTTTAGCAATATTCCAGCAATATCACGGCGGGGGACACCATAAATGGGCTTCACACATTGTACCCAAGTGGGAAATCGAACCTGGGTCTTCGGCGTGACGAGCGAACGCTTTAATCTCAAAGCTACCCCACCTCTGTCCTGAACGAAATAGATGGTATTGTTTAGAGTGACTCCACTATCACAATATATTGTCTATGTGGTGTAGACGTCGGGATCATCCATAAGATCATCTTCCCGAGGCAAGTGAGTTCACTGACTATAAAAGTCCAGTTTCCACCCTTGCCGAACTAGGCTTGTATTATGGAGTTACAACTTGGCTGGACTAACGAGTCTATGCATAGTCCAATCAAAATCGCGCATCGAAATCGAAATCCGGTTCGTAAACTGTCATGTAGATTTCGGTCGATTGCAGGATTTGCAAAGCATGTCCACTGCCAACTCGTTGTCAACAGATATTTTCAAAATCTTTTCATGTTGTTAATCAAGGTGCTTACGTGATTTGATGCATTTCGCGATGTAAGACCCGTTTTATAACAATATAGATCTTGATTATCGAGCAGATCGTCCTGACGTGGCGCCGCCATTTTGTTTGAAGCAAATGCAAGTGATACGAGAGGTGGAATTTGATTGGTCCATAGGAGAGGCTTAGAAGGGACATAAGTGGTAATAGCCACTGGTGGCGCTACGATCGGGCCAAGGAATTCCAGCCTAGTTCGGCAAGGGTGGAAACTGGACTTTTAAAGTGAGTTAACTCTCTTGCCTCGAGAAGATGCCATAAGATAGTCTCTGTAACAAAAAACCCAGGCTTCCCCATCCCCAACACACGGAATTAAACGGGTTGTAGTCTTACAGGTATTTATATGTGAGCCCTTCCGTGATGTGTTCAAATGTGTGCATTTGCTTAAGGAATCTGTAGATTTTCAAATTAGTTAAATCAATTTACTGGATCACATAACATATTTCCTTATATCATAACATATATGACTTTAACATGTGCGTTTTGGAAACTACCCGTTTTCTAACGGGTCTAGATAGCGCTCATATTGTTCCAAAATATATAATTTATTTTATGCATATCGGGTTATCATTTACACTATATTTATTGTCAGCCACGTATGTCATTTTACAAGACAGCTGGTTTGTTGTCCAGACATATCTTATTTCCTCAATTGTCATTGAACTTGTGTCATTCCAGTCCCAAATGTATTTTGTAGATGTTAAGAAAACAGTCTGTTAGTTTCTGGCACATGGTTTCCAATTTCCAGATATATTTGTACGTGACACATATGAAAACCAGTATGTCACGTCCTGCCTACTCCAAGTGTTATGGACAATGACACTAGTGACATGATTATTGACCCAATAACGAATCTAATCTTGGCGAACTTGGGATTCGAACCCGTGGATCCTAGCTCGGTAAAGGGAAACAACTCCAACAAAACGTTGAGGTGCCTAAGATCACTGATCATCCCTTGGTCAATTGTACATACAAAGACGATATGTAACTCGAGTTCAGCCATGAAACATAGGTATCAAATAGCAATAACCACCTCTGATTAACACCCAACATTAATTTGTATGGTATTCAGGATTATACTTACTACCCGTCCTCTGGTGCACACAGAGACACCACTGGATGCCACTGCTTACATTCTGACTGGCGATCTCCCTCAGCGCTGACACGCCTATCAGCTGGTTGTCAAGGTTACCCGGCATCACCAATTCATCCTCCATTACATCAGGTGCAAAGTGGCGCCACTGTATGGCTTCCTGGAAATAAGGAATGTCAAATCCATTCCATTTCAAATTATATCTGAGATTTCGTCAAATCATCATAGTCAATTTACACTGTTCGAACGCCACACAGAGAAAAAGGGTAAAAACTCAGATCAATGTAACGGGATCGGGTGCTGAGGCTCGTTCCCTTTGTTGATGCATGTCATCGTATCCAAATTGCGTGGATCGATGCTCATGGTGTCAATCACTGGATTGTCTGGTCCAGACTCGATTATTTACAGACCGCCGTCGTACAGCTGGAATACTGCTGAGAGCGGCGTTAAACAACAAACAAACAAACAAACATTTGTATTAAGGACCGACCATTCGAAATTCTTGGGTGGGGGCATGAGGAAACTGCTTTTTTTCACAAAAACTTATTGCAGCAAAATATTTTTTAGCCAACATTTTCATTTTTTTTCAAGAGTCTGAAGCATAATTTCTGCGCCCTCCCCCCCCCCCCCCCCCCCCCCCCCCCCAACACACACACCCCACCCCTCCCGTCCGAATGTCAAATGGTTCGTCCCTTAGTCTTGTCCTATACCACAACATTAACTGTCTTACTTCACATTTCGAGGTGATCTTGGACCCATTGCAGTAGTACAGGGTGTAGCCTGTGACCCTTCCCTGGTGGGGGTCCTGTGCCCCTGGCGGGACCCCCCAGGTGATGTACAGGGTGGAGCTGTCTGCCTCCACCACGATGTCTGAGGGGTAGGGCACTTCTACAATAGAAAACACCATTTCGTTATCAGTATTATAAGGCTGAAATTGAAGGATGGACTTATCACTAAGTCATGGACCTAGCAATATTACGTGACTCTTATACACTAACAGGTAACTACTATATGATTAATAGAGTATTTATACGATATCTGAATGTTGATACACGAATTCGAACACTATATTCTTTAAATCAGTAGGATACACAATACGCTCTTCACTATCTCTTTATCATCCTTACTATATAATTATCTATAGCGAGGAAGTAGTATGCTCTTATTATAATCCGCCTCGAGAGTGAGTGAGTGAGTGAGTGAGTGAGTTGTGTTTAAAGCCGCTTTTAACAGTATTCCAGGTATATCACGGCGTGTCAGCTTAATGTGAGAGGAAAGCCCGAAGTGATGCAGGTCTCAGACGTTTACCACTTCGGTGAAACCCACGAGCACGGGTATGGTGCTGACAAACCTAGAATCGTAATCGGGTCGAACCGGGATTCGAACCCACAATCACAGCAAATCGGGGCGCCTTAGACGACCCCCCCCCCCCACCCCCCACCCCCCCACCCCCACCCCCACCCCCCCCACCCCCACCCCCACACACGAGAGAGCTTAACATGGCGTCAACAATGCCACCGAGTGACGTCCTCTGGAACACCCCCACAGCTCCGCTGTCTCTGTTACAGTCAACAGTTACACAGTTGCATTCTTATTAACTTATTTATATTTGTCTTTGAGATATTGCTTTTTCAGCCAGCACTTCATTTTTTTCTCTGAAAGGTGACACAGCGATTTTATGTGGACCCACAACACAATATTTTCACAGATATCTATGACACTGGGAAGCCTTCTGTCACTATGAATGTAATTTGTAAAGCGTTATTGTCAGATTGAGCTGTGTGTAAATCTCAAATGGTGATGCATTGTCTGGGTAGCGGAAATGATGAAGTAGTGCCTGGTGGAGGCAAAGCTACATTTCATCTTCTGAAGGAGAGTGCGTGGAAAGATTTGCAGCGCTCTGATCAAAGGTAATCTGGTAATTCAGAGGTATACACTGGTGAGGTCTGTTACAGCCCATTGTATTCACCCTGATAGTTGGGAATCAAAACTCATTGACAACCAATGCTTGAGAGCTTACGTTTGTAAGGTGGGATCACAATAGGCTTTGACTCTCCTGACATGCCGACCTGTGTTCCTGCTCTCAAAGTAATGCTATACTCCCGGTCTTTCCTGACAATCAGGTCATAGGACGTTGCTGATCCTGCCACCTCCATCATCTCGCTTGTTCCGTGCCGCGTGTCTTCCTTCTTTATTCTGTATAGAGTTATCTCCCCATTGGACTCTTTCAGAGGTACTGGCTTTGGACAATAACAGAAACTGGTTAGACGAGGTAAAAGAAAAATAGTTTACTGAGCCTTGTTCAGAGGGCAGGCAGTTCACATATCTAATGTCATTGATACACTGAATCTGAAGTTAAAGGTCTTAGCTAAATTCGCTTGTTTTGATTTTGCCAATTTGAGCAGGAATTCCGATTCTTATGTAAAAAGAAACAAGAGTTTGCCACTAACGTAGCTATATCACCCGCCCCTATTGCAGAATTTATGACATAAGTAAATATAAACAAACCCTAACCTTTTTTAACCGAGGTGAAACTTGTCATGGAAATTGTAAAAAAAGAAGAGTTTGGAACCTAAGTCCATCTTGTTGCCATGGAAACGTAAAAATACAATTTTCTAAAATTTCTAAATAGCAAAAGGCACAAGTTCAGCATGTACCTGAGAGGCCTGCAAAGTTTGATGAAAAGATATTGAACGGTTTATGAGTTATGCTCCGGAAACGAACCCTACCCTCACAGAACCTAGGTCCGTCTTGTTGCAATGGAAACGTAAAAAATAAACATTTCTAAAATGTCTAAATAGCAAAAGGCACCAGTGCAGCATGTACTTGACAGACCTGCAAAGTTTCATGAAAAAATATTGAACGGTTTCTGAGTTATGCTCCGGAAACGAAACGTGACGGACGGACGGAGCCCGTTTCTATATCCTCCACCAACTTTGTTGGGTGGGGGATAACAGGCAAGGGGGAAGCACATTGGGGACCATTGGGATGCCGACTTTTTGCCCAAATGTCCTTTCCTCAAATTTCACTTATTGCTTCCTTAGTCAACTTCTGATGACGTTTGCTTTCAAATTGTCATGAACATGAACATAGTGATGTAACTATATTTATATTCACTACCTTTAGTGCCAAATGACCCATGGGGCATGGAATAAATTTCCCCATATGTTTCTCGTCTGGGGTAGTGGTTATAGATTAAATGTTCGGACAGAGATTCTGAGATTACAAAAAAAAAACCCGGGCAAATCCTTTGAGCTTTTGAAAATCCAAATGATATTAATTCCTCTTGTCTTAAACTATTTCTGAGAACATAAAAGAAAGCCGTTCCTTGATTGTGATAAGGATTAAGGTTAATCTTTGAGACGGGCATTTGATGGTACATTTGCTGTACGCTGCAATGTATCTCTTTTCGTATGGATTTTTATGGAGGTTTGGATTCAAGTACATAAGAGGAATGGGCATCTCGTGATGTTGTAGTCAAGTCAAAAGTTGATAGCACTGATGCATGGTTTTGACATATTCATTCCTCAGTTGGCATAACGGATTTATTTGTGGCATTATTTTCCTTGTCACTTACACCAAGTTCAATTAATGTAGTGATGCTTACATATAATGGTCACGTTGTTTTAGACCTTGTCAGTGGGAACGACTACAAATGTCTCATGCTGAACGGCTATACTTGAGATGGCAGCTGACTGATAACGAAAACGTTTTTTTCCAAATCTGTGTCCTCTTTTTCAGTTTGTGCATTCGACAAATGACAACACCAAACATTGAGTTAACCGACTCCTGACCAGGTTTCTCTTCCATGCCGGGCCATTCTGGGCCATTCCGGGCCATATTTAAATAACAGAAGAAGGTCGCTGTTTCATCCTGTGGTTAAGTGACCAACAGGTTAATAGCAGTTGCTATTTATGAGTCTTGGCAACCATAAGTAGCAGATTTGTGATGCATGATCTGCCAAGTCTGCAACAGTTCCTACAATTGAACAACTAAACAGACCTACCAGTAGACAGTCACATTATGATATATAGATATACGCACCTGAAAGAGTCCCATTATAATACACATTGTCAGTAGATAGTCCCGTAACGATACGCACCAGCCAGTAGATAGTCCCATTACAATACACATTGTCAGTAGATAGTCCCGTAACGATACGCACCTGCCAGTAGATAGTCCCATTACAATACACATTGTTAGTAGATAGTCCCGTAACGATACGCACCAGCCAGTAGATAGTCCCATTTCAATACACATTGTTAGTAGATAGTCCCGTAACGATACGCACCTGCCAGTAGATAGTCCCATTACAATACACATTGTCAGTAGATAGTCCCGTAACGATACGCACCAGCCAGTAGATAGTCCCATTTCAATACACATTGTTAGTAGATAGTCCCGTAACGATACGCACCTGCCAGTAGATAGTCCCATTACAATACACATTGTCAGTAGATAGTCCCGTAACACTACGCACCTGCCAGTAGATTGTCCCATTACATTACGCACCTGCCAGTAGATAGTCCCATTACAATACGCACCTGCCAGTAGATAGTCCCATTACAATACGCACCTGCCAGTAGAAAGTCCCGTAACAATACGCACCTGCCAGTAGATAGTCCCATTACAATACGCACCTTCCAGTAGATAGTCACACCGCAGGTATCTAACTGGTTACAGTCATTGTAAACAAAGCTCCCACGCTGCACACCCGGAACGCCACTCGGTACTGCAACACGGGCCATGTTCATAAGAGTGAGTGAGTGAGTGAGTGAGTTGGGTTTAACGCCGTTTTTAACCGTATTCCGGTCATATCGCGGCGTGTCAGCTTAATGTGGGAGGAAAGCCCCAAGTGATGCAGGTCTCAGACGTTTACCACTTTGGTGAAACCCACGAGCACGGGTATGATGCTGACAAACCTAGAAACAAAATCGGGGCGAATCGGGATTCGAACCCACAATCATAGGTTTCTGGCGAGCCAAAGGGACGCAACTCTGCCTTAGACTGGGCCACCCGTGCCCCCATGTTCATAAGAGCGGAATACAGCTTTACCTTGTCGACCTTCATTTAACACGTACCTAATGGCAGCCGGTGTTGGGAACATAAGCATGTTGACAAGGTGTAGATGTCAAAAAGATCACACAATCGTCATATGGAGATATATTACACCAAAGGCCTGGGCCAAAGTAATCAATGAACGAGCATTGCAACAATTTGTGATGCTCACCTTCCCTCAAACTATCCTTAGGGGGCACGGGTGGCTCAGGGTTCTAAGGCGCCGCGATTCGCTGCGCAGAGTTGCGTCCCTTGGGAACTCCAGAAACCTATGATTGTGGGTTCGAATCCCGGTTCGCCCCGATTATGTTTCTAGTTTTGTCAGCATCATACCCGTACTCGTGGGTTTCACCGAAGTGGTAAACGTTTGAGACCTGCATCACTTCAGGCTTTCCTCCCACATTAAGCTGACACGCCGTGATATAACTGTAATACTGTTAAAAGCGGCGTTGAACCCAACTCACTCACTCACTCACTCAAACTATCCTTTAACCATTCATTCACAATTGCAATAAAAGCGCAAACCCTTCTCTGCCCAAATCAGAGTCGATTCTACTATATCATAAGTAAATTCATCATAAGTGATTCTTAAACATTAACCTGAAAATACAATTCCTTTTTAAAAGTACCAGTTCGTTACGATATTGCTGAAATACTGCCGATGTGTCGTTAAATTATAAGTTACTCAGTCACTAGAAGTACCAATAAAAAGTAAACTTTTGAACTCATACCATCTTCCAGTGTGTCCACGTTTAGGGTGGTCCAGTCACTGTAAAAACCTTCAGTTTTGTTAGATTTATATCTCAGTGGGATGCACGACACTCGCAATTTGTATGTCCTGGCCGGATGAAGGTCACACAGAGTTACCTCCCTTTCACTTGTGTTAAACTGAAAACATAACAGAGACTCTCTTGCACGAATTACATTATACCATAATTTGTTTCGTATGGTATACGTATTAACCACACTTCCTATCTCTATCAAATTTGGAGTAGTAAATTCCAGGTGAAGCAAACAAGTGTTTCTGTGGGACCTCTACTGACGGATATCGATGTCCGTGTTATGGCTGACGTGTAACGCCGGAGTCAACGCAGGTGAAATTGGGTTTAACGTCGCGTCCAAGATTATTGCACTTATATAGCGACGTGCATGCACGTGTATGTGTGTGGCTGCTTGTACTAGTCCGGACTGATGCCGATTTATAGTGCTAGCACACTGAGATACCATGCCGCAGTTTAACATGAATACCTCACTCAGAAACAGTATACTGACTCCTAGCCGACCAGTCCTTATTTTAGCCCCTTAATGCCGAGCGCCAGACAGGGTAACAACAAGTACCATCTTTTAACGTCTTTTGGTATGACGCGGCCGGGGATCGAACCCCGGACCTTCCGCTCTCCGGGCGGACGCTCTACCTCTAGACCACGGAGGCGGAGTATGAACCAGCATGTCAGTGATGTTACGCCGTCTGGGTACGATGTCATGTTATCATCCCAATCATGGAGCCTGACCCCCTGGTACTTTTAGTCACCTCTTACGGTGTCCACCGCCGTTATATTGCTGGAATATTGCTAAAAGCGGCGTAAAATCAAACTCACTCAGTCAGTCAGTCACCTCTCACGACAAGCGTAGGTTGCTTGGGATCAGTTCTAACACTGAATCACCACACTATATCCCTATGAAATGTGGGGTAGTGTATTACAGGTGGGTCAGTAGGTTTACCTTTAAGACAGAACCCTGTTCCTGCAGGACGTGCACTGTGTACTTCATGAACCTACTGGAGCTAATGGATATCCCTGTCAAATGTGGGGTAGTGTGTTACAGGTAAGTCAGCAGGTTTACCTTTAAGACAGAACCCTGTTCCTGCAGGACGTGCACTGTGTACTTCATGACCCTACTGGAGCTAATGGATATCCCTGTCAAATGTGGAGTAGTGTATTACAGGTGGGTCACCAGGTTTACTTTTAAGACAGAACCCCGTTCCTGCAGGACGTGCACTATGTACTTCATGACCCTACTGGAGCTAATGGATATCCCTGTCAAATGTGGAGTAGTGTATTACAGGTGGGTCAGCAGCTTTACCTTTAAGACAGAGCTCTGTTCCTGCAGGACGTGCACTGTGTACTTCATGACCCTACTGGAGCTAATGGATATCCCTGTCAAATGTGGAGTAGTGTATTACAGGTGTGACAGCAGGTTTACTTTTAAGACAGAACCCCGTTCCTGCAGGACGTGCACTGTGTACGTCATGACCCTACTGGAGCTAATGGATATCCCTGTCAAATGTGGAGTAGTGTATTACAGGTGGGTCAGCAGGTTTACCTTTAGACAGAGCTCTGTTCCTGCAGGACGTGCACTGTGTACTTCATGACCCTACTGGAGCTAATGGATATCCCTGTCAAATGTGGAGTATTGTATTACAGGTGTGACAGCAGGTTTACCTTTGAGACAGTACCCCGTTCACTCTGCACTGTGTACATCATAACCCTACTAGAGCTAATGGATATCCCTGTCAAATGTAGGGTAGTGTATTACAGGTGTGACAGCAGGTTTACGTTTAAGACAGAACCCCGTTCCTGCAGGACGTGCACTGTGTACTTCATGACCCTACTGGAGCTAATGGATATCCCTGTCGAATGTGGAGTAGTGTATTACAGGTGGGTCAGCAGGTTTACCTTTAAGATAGAGTCCTGTTCCTGCCGGGCGCGCACTGTGTACATCATGACCCTACTGGAGCTAATGGACATCACCCTGTCGAATGTGGAGTAGTGCATTACAGGTGGGTCAGCAGGTTTACCTTTAAGATAGAGTCCTGTTCCTGCAGGACGTGCACTGTGTACGTCATGACCCTACTGGAGCTAATGGATATCCCTGTCAAATGTGGAGTAGTGTGTTACAGGTGGGTCAGCAGGTTTACCTTTAAGATAGAGTCCTGTTCCTGCAGGACGTGCACTGTGTACTTCATGACCCTACTGGAGCTAATGGATATCCCTGTCAAATGTTGAGTAGTGTGTTACAGGTTCAGCAGGTTTACCTTTAAGATGTAGTCCTGTTCCTGCAGGACGTGCACTGTGTACTTCATGAACCTACTGGAGCTAATGGATATCCCTGTCGAATGTGGAGTAGTGTGTTACAGGTAAGTCAGGAGGTTTACCTTTAAGATAGAGTCCTGTTCCTGCAGGGCGCGCACTGTGTACATCATGACCCTACTGGAGCTAATGGATATCCCTGTCGAATGTGGAGTAGTGTATTACAGGTGGGTCAGCAGGTTTACCTTTAAGATGTAGTCCTGTTCCTGCAGGACGTGCACTGTGTACATAATATTCCTTTCGTACTCTGTATGGTTCCACTCGAGATACAAACACCTGCTAGTCCTGTTCGCTACAGTCAATGAATGCACAGGAGCTGGTTCCACTGTAAACATAGAGCTTTAGTAAATGTTTGCCTCTGTAAGGGGTTTATTTATGTTTTTATTTCTTGTGAATACACAATTCTGAAGATGTCTTTCTTCAGGGAGAGAATATAGAAAGGGGTAGTTTTTAACCCCAACACATGTAATATGTGACAGAACGGTAATATTTTCCAGTAAGGATTTTCGTATGTTTAAATAAAAAATGGGACAAATACATTTGCTTCTTCACAGTTGTTGTACTTTCAACATGCGTGACCTTTCTAACAATATTTCATACAACTCTTGCCCAGAAGTTGTTTGATCAAGGTAACAACATTCAATGCCTCAGTAAAGCTTTCAAAAGTTGGAGACAAATTTTACAATTGGGAGACAATTCCTTATTTCGACTTGTACCATACGTCCCCGTGTTTATTCAGGTGAACAATTGACTTGCCTTTGCTTGTGTTTGTAACGGGTGCCAGTGTTGGGGCAAGATACGATCACCTTTTCACGAACTTTTTGCCATCCCTATTTGATGGGGATTCATATACACATGATCATGATAAAGTCAGTCCTACAATCGACTCTGTTTTTGCCAGAGAATTCTTATGAATATGGAAAGTGTTTTACCACTGAACAAGTACTGAAATGTAAAGTCATACTCATTATATAAACATTTATCTCACCTAGTGTCAGTCCTGTCACAGCCACCCAGTCAGATGTAGCAGCTGTTCCATTGCTAGCCTTGACACACCTGACAGTGACAAGCATCTGGTACCGAACTGAAACCTTGAAAGAATTTCGGCCATCGTTTTCTTTCCAGCTGCAGGAAGTCTTGCCCTGGTGGGGACAGGCGCTCGGCCGAAAACGACTACGAAAAGAAGGGATCCATTAATGGAAAACTGGTTTCTGTGGGTCAATTGGCGAAAGCTTGGAGCGATATTTGGGTTGATACATGGTGTGGTTCAAGGATGGATATATGATGTGGTTTAAGGGTGCTGTTCAAGGATGGATATATGCTGTTGTTCCAGGATGGATATATAATGTGGTTTAAGGGTTGACATATGATTGTGGTTTAAGTGTGGATATAGGGTCTTGTTCACGGATGGATATATGGCGTGATTTAAGGGTGGGTATATGGTGTGGTTTAAGTGTGGATATATGGTGTGGTTTAAGTGTGGTTATATGGTGTGGTTTAAGTGTAGATATATGGTGCGGTTTAAGTGTGGATATATGGTGTGGTTTACGTGTGGATATATGGCGTGGTTTAAGTGTAGATATATGGTGTGGTTTAAGTGTGGATATATGTTGTGGTTTAAGTGTAGATATATGGCGTGATTTAAGGGTGGGTATATGGTGTGGTTTAAGTGTAGATATATGGTGTGGTTTAAGTGTGGATATATGGTGTGGTTCAAGGGTGGATATAAGTTGTGTTTTAAGGGAGGATATACAGCGTGGTTTACACATTAATGCATGGTGTGATTTATGGATGGATATATGGTGTGGTTCAAGGGTGGATGTTTGGTTCAAGGGTGGATATAGTGTGTAGTTTAAGGTTGGATATATGGTGTGGTTTAAGGGTGGTTATGTCGTGACGAGCAATTCTTTCTTGTCTCCACTATTCAGCATACCAATGGTTCGTTAGACGTGGCATTTTAATTGACTGGAGCTCTACAAAGGCATGGTGTCCTTTCGGCAGATAATCGATGTTATGACGTGGACGTTTTATATTAAATTTTATAGGGCTTGAATACACGTAAAGCACGTGCAGAATGTTTCCTAACCACTGTTGTCATTTCCTTGAACATTTTCCCAAACAAACAACCATCACAGACATGCATGTTATATTACTTACAAGTGGCTCACTGTTTGCGTTCAAACACAGGCAGGGGCGGTCGGGTAGCCTAGTGGTTAAAGCGTTCGCTCGTCACGCCGAAGACCCGGGTTCGATTCCCGACATGGGTACAATGTGTGAAGCCCATTTCTGGTGTCCCCCGCCGTGATATTGCTGGAATATTGCTAAAAGCGGCGTAAAACCATATTCACTCACACACTCACTCACTCAAACACAGGCAGCACTCTATGTAAATCGCATTATGCTTCATGGGAAATAGTCTGCTTCGCTCCCGTCACTTAAGAGAATAACCAGTCTCGGTTATCCGCCGAAACGGATCCCATTGGGCGTAAAGGGCAAACTAGTGGTGAGAACGATATGAATGGAATCGCTGGTAACACCAGGTGTTCGCGTAAGGGTAAGCCATTCGTCACAACTCGCCCCTTTCCGTAACCCGCAAGAAGACTGGTCCCCCTATCGATGACTGTTTGTGCGAAAATACGACAAACCAATCAGAATGGGCGTATGATTTCGAGTTCTTTGTCAAATAATCCCTCATAAATAGTTTTAGATTTTACATGTGTCTTGCATCTTAAAATATACCCGAGACACACTTAAATGTGTTCAATCATACTGTATAATTCCGCACGTCCCGATTTGCTTTAAATTGCATCTGAAATATATATAATATATGGGGAAATATATTTGAACCATTACGCAACGAGTTGACAATTGTTTTAGGTATGCCCGTTTGCGCTAAGACGGAACCCAGTCGCAAAAATGTTCATGAGAAGGGCACGAGTCGCTATCCGGCTTGTCCCGGAATAACACGAGTTAGTCACGAATGAAGGGTAAGCCTGACCTGCCCTACCGGTAACACCCGACACTCACACAATTTGCATAAAACGCTTGACGCCATCCAAGCAGCAGGAAGAGAAATTTAAAAAATCGGACAACTGTTTGTTCTTATACCGAGGCAGATTGGAAGATATTTTTTATTCATTTTGCATCGGGGATTAAGCCAGACCCAACGACACAACTGTTTTTTTCCAGATGAATCCGGTCCCCAATTTCACAAAAATGATCAGGAAGTCACCATTTGATATATTTCGAATTACAGTAAACTACGTTTATAACGAACACGCTTATAACGAACTGACGGATATAACGAACATACTTTTTTGTCCCGACTATTTGCTGTAGTTATGCTGTATATATGCTTATAACGAACTACGGTTATAACGAACTAAAATTAGTGGTCCCGTTGAGTTCGTTATAACCGTAGTTAACTGTATGTGTATTTGTTGTAACTTTCCAGATCCATTTAGGACGGTTATAGTTTTGTTTCTACACACAAAAAAACATTAATGCTGATCGAATGAAGATTTTATTTTGAGTTTTTTTAATGGAGATTGATAAATTGTTGGTAGAGAGATCATTACTTAATACTTTTAATAATTTTAACTTCAATGTTCAAAGTATCCAGTTTTGTACTAAAGGTCCCAGTTATTGTATTGTATAGTGTATTGTTCGTGATATTGTCGACCATGCATAAGAAACGCTACATAATTATTACCCTATTATCCAAATCAGTTCGGATTTCACCATGTCCTTGTGTATAAAGTCCACTCCCAGGTCCCACGTGCAGGTCATGTTCCTCCAGTCAAACACACGGCAGTCGATCTTCTCAACCTTCTTGGGACGATCTGGGACAAATAGGAATGAAGATCTTATTTTTCTCAAGCAATGTTTTCTCAAAATTATTAAAAGCTTATCTTGATTTTATAGCAGAAATAAAACCTGTTTCTCTTGGTGATGGTGATTCAGAATCAACTTTAATCGGTTCATGTTTGAAGACAATCTCTGATATATATAATCTGGTATACACGTAAAATACTAAGGGCAGCGAAGTTTTCATATTTTTTTTCATGACAATGCTTCAAAGCAAAACGGTAGCAAAGTATTACCTGGGCCCACTTGCACAAAGCGATCTTAGCGCTATGACTATTGTAAGCCTATGTTAAAGTATGGGAGTAACGATCATCTTGGCGCTAAGATCGCTTTGTGCAAGTTGGTCCTGGTATTTACTGGGTATAGTGTTCATGCATGCGTTATGACATAGTGTCATTATGTATGTATAAGAATAAACGTTATATCCTGATATTAAAAATATCTACAGGTAACAGATACATGACAGGGAATTTTATATAACCAGATCAACGGTGATGAGCCTGAGACAGAAACTGAAAAGCTTTGTGAAATGGGGTTTAACGCCGCGTCCAAGATTATTGCACTTATATAGCGACGTGTATGCAAGTGTGTGTGGTGTGGTGTGGTGTGGTGTGGTGCGGTGCGGTGCGGTGCGGTGCGGTGCGGTGTGGTGTAGTGCGTGCGTGTGCTTTAGTCCGTTAGTCCGGACTGATTCCGATTTATTGTGTTAGCACATTGAGATACCATGCCACAGTTTAACATGAATACCCCACTCAGACACAGTATACTGACTCCGAGCCGACCAGTCCTTGTTTTAGCCCTTAATGCCGAGCACCAGACAGGGAATGTTACTGAGACAGACTTAAAATACTTTCTCACTCTGTAATTCTCAATGTGTAACCTGGGGCTATGGCCTATATTATTTCTGTGAATAAACTTCTACTAAGGATAATAGACACAAAAGTGAAACGGCAGTCTCCGAAACGAAAATATCAGTGTACAGTTACAGTGATGACAATATGTTCGAAGGTAAGCTTACACGTTCTAGGGGTCAAGGTCACTAAAGACGGCTTCCCATGCTTTGACACTCCAAGAAATGGGAAAGTTTTCTTACTGAGAAAACCGTAAATTACTTACAATCCACGCTGACGTTTTGACTACCTATGATGACACTGCTTCCATCCGTCTTGTTCAGTTTACAGACGTAGCCCCCCTGATGAATGCGTGACGTGATGGGGAAGTCGAGCTGGATGGCTCGGTCACCTAGAGGGGTGATGTATTGCATGGGAAGAACCTTCTCCACATCTTCAAAATCTTTAACGAAGAACAGTGATCCAGAAAAGTTGCCAGGGATACTGTCTGAGGTCACGGTACAGTTCAAGGTCAAGGTCTCATTGATAAATCTAAATGGATTACTGGGGAGCACTTCTGAAAAGATACAAAAACACCACATTGCAAACAGAAATGACAGAAAAAAACACAAAAGTACCTAAACAGAGGTCATTAAATTTTGAACTGAAAACTTCAACAACATACTGATTGATCCGACCGTTCGCTGGCACCAAATTTTATGATTCATTGGGATGTCGACAAGGAACATCATAAGAACCTAAACGGCACAGGGTGTGTTCTGTGTTCGGTCTTTCCAGTGATAAAACATTGATCGCAGCATACAATAAACCACACAAACATTTAAGCACTATTGATATGCCCTATTTAAAAAAAACACTCCATATGCAGCCTTGCTTGACAATGGTATAAGGATCTATACCGGAACGTCGCCTTTACAGTAAATGAAAAAGTTGTTATCCATAAATTGCCTCTACTCTGTCCATATGCTATACGTTACACATGTATGTGTACCACTTTTGTGATCACAGACTAGCCAACCTATTTTTCATGGCTACGATAATTCTTTTTGTTTAATGGCAATAAAGCTCAATATAACTGGCTGTCAACACACTGCCAAACTCTGGATTCAACTCTTTCTGTCTCAGATACGTAAATATACCACAAAGTTTACCCCGAAAGCAGACATATTCAACCTATTTGATTATAAATACTGTTTGTTTGATTGTTGTTTAAAGCCGCACTCAGCAGTATTCTAGGTATATGACGGCGGTCTGTAAATTATCTAGTCTGGACCAGACAATCCAGTGTTTGACATCATGAGTATCGATCCACGCAATTTGAAAATAATGACATGCATCATCAACCAAGAGAGCGAGCCTGACCGCCCGATCCCGTTAGTCACCTCTTACAAGCATAGTCGCCTTTTACGGCAAGCATGGGTTGCTGAAGACCTATTCTACCCCGGATCTTCACGGGTCACATTGACCTGGAAATAGTTCAACTCAGTTTAACTATGACACAGTTCCCGCTGTTGGGATGACCAGTAACTTCTAATTCTTTAAGACTTTTCAAACATATGTTATTTATGGAATTGATTGAGATAAAGACAGGTCGATCACCGTAAAAAAGTAATACAAATCATTCATCTGTAAATGTTCATGAATAATAGCTTCAAAGGGTCCATGGCTTAGAACTGTGTCTTCCTCAAGTTCAGCAATGGTAATACGTGCATGTGAAAGTATACGTTTTTCTCCATCATTGAATCTTAATTGATGGACATAGGGTCATCATCAAGGCTTGTTCTCCCAGCCTTAAACATAGCTGCCCAACGTTTAACAGTGGAACACACTTGTGACATGCGGCCATGAATTTCTTGGGGAGTACTTTTCTCTGGAGTCAAAACCTCGATGACTGCTCGGTACTCGTTCTTTTTCATTTCTGTGTCCATTTGGACCCCTATCACGTTCAACTGGCTGTCAGTAATATACAAACGGCCCCAACAAACCAAATACACTTGCAATGAACTACTCAAACAATGTAGTACATTGACTAGTCACTTTGTTATGGCCCATAGTTGAAAGTTAGACAGGCTTAGAACGTTTTGACCTGCCCTCGTATAGCTGGAATATTGCTGAGCATACCCCCATGCTGTGTGTCTTGCAAGGTGTGGGAGAGGGACAAGACAAGGAGGACAGCCCCGGATATCCCGCGTCGTCTTGTGAGGCCTGTCATGATGGTTGCATCCTACTCCAACTGCTGACCCCCTAGTGAAAGAAAAAGAGAACTTTTGTGAGGTATGTTCTTCACCAGAAGAATTAAATAAAAGAAACAAAACCCTTTTCATAATCAGAAGAACCATTCTGCTCCACAGGCGCTTATCGAAAAATTGGATTCGTGATATCAATAACTCACTTGGACCATGAAAAATAAAGGAAGGAAGGAAGGAAGGGAGGAAGGGAGGGAGGAATGAAGGACGGACGGACGGACGGACGGACGAACGAACGAACGAACGAACGAACACTCGAAAGAACGAACATACGAAAGAACGAACGACCTTAAGGTCATACCACAAAAAATAGGCTCCTCGTCAACAAAATTGGCTGTCAGGTCTAAAACGTGTTTAACCTAATGGATATATGTTGGTGTTTTATGTGAATTATTACTTATGACTTTCAATATATTTTGCCATTTAATAGATTAAACATAAGATCCCACTAATAAAATATTACTCCATACTCATAATGACACGGAACAGTTAATGTTAAAAGAAGAATTAAAGCTAAAGCACATTATATTTATTAATATCTAAAATCCAGCATAAGTTTAAGATATCACAAAAGAAATAACATTAACTCATCAATAAGAGTACAAGAAGTCATAAAATCAAGTATTGATGTAAAACAAGAATTACAAATGCACATACATACGTCATCAAATTAGGAGTTAAATCTTATATATATATATATATATATATATATATATATATATATATATATATATATATATATATATATTGCGGAAACGGGAAATTTACCATTTTTCCGTTTTATAAATTGTTTACAAGTAACAAGCAGCTGAGACTGGAAAAAGAACAAATGTTTATCATTTAACTTAAGCATTTATCCATGACATAAGCTTATGACATAAAAACATGTATGTCATACCCCAATGACATAAGTATGCAAATTAAATATGCAAATTAGATAACCGGAAGAGCGAGCGGTTTGATTTGAAACTATATATTATAAGTGAAGTTACACAAGAGATATAATCAGATTACACAGAATCGTTGTTGTTACCGTTATTAAAGTTTCAATTATTCTGCAAAAGTCTGTTCAAGTATTTTGTTTAAAATAATCCGAGGAACTTTTTTTCTCAGCGAATTGTTTATTTTGGTTTACATGGCTATGGAAAACATGTATCACTACGCACGATCTATACGTAAGATTTCGACAAGTTGCTGATGTTAATGTTTAATGCAATTATTCCTTAATTTGGAAGCAAAAATGTGAAAATGATAAATAGAATTCATCACGAGTGTTTTTTAATATGGGAAATATCAACCTCGTCCCGTTAATCGGTATTTGCCTCGCCAAAGGCTCGGCAAATACCGATTAACTAAGACTCGGTTGATATTTCCCATATTAAAAAAACACTCGTGATGAATCCTCTATTTATCCAATTGATGAAACACAAATTGAACCCTAGAATGTATTAACAGATTTCTCATTTCAATCGTAAATGTTACACTGTTACTTTACAATTACTGTGTATTTTAATTCAAATGTCTCCCTACAAAAATTATTGTTAAATTACTTGGTGTCGTCGCTGGAGTGTATAAATACATTATGACGTCACAGTTGTAATTTATGACGTCATCATAAGTATGACGTCATATTATATGTCATTGTCAGTTACACTGAAGAGCTGTCATGAGACAGCGAAAGTACTATGTCTGAAACTGATATAAAGAAGATGATGGACTAACGTGGACTTTATTATTTTATTATCTCTCTCTCTCTCTCTCTCTCTCTCTCTCTATATATATATATATATATATATATATAAATTATATATATATATATATATGTATTGGTCTATGTATCGGTTTGCTGTAAGATTGCCCTGGACAACCACTAACTGTGATCTACCCGTGTATGATATGGCTCCCCACACCATGATACTCCCTCCACCAAATCGGTCCACCTGTCGAACGCACTTCGGCGCAAAACGTTCATGTCGACGTCGGTATACACGTTATCTTCCATCCCGTCGTTGAAGAAGAAAACGCTGAACCAAACGCGTCGCCAGTTCCTGAGATCCCATGCCTGTACTCTGTTGCACCACCGGACACGTCGTTGACGGTGTAGACGTCGCAAGACAGGTCCAACTTTTGGTCGTCTCGCTCGAATTCCCACTTCCCTCAGACGATTTCTGATGGTTTGGTCGGAAATTCTTCGCATACCAGGCACTAGTCCTACAGTGTCCGTTGTTGTAGCAAATCGATTCCGAAGGTGATGCATCCGGATGTACCGATCCTGAGCAGTGGTGGTCACTCTTGGTCTTCCACTTCTGGGATGATCTTGATTCGAATTAGTGCGGGTATATCGATCCAATAGTCGAGATATGGTGCTTTGGTGAACGTTGAAGTGTCTTGCAACGGCAGACTGGGACTCCCCTGCTTCCAAACGTCCAATGGCGATATTTGGGTCAGCTGCAGTTAATCTTGGCATTTTTCGATCTCCGTTCACGTCGAAAATTCGTAAGGAACGGTTGCACGTGCATTGTGCTGAAAACTTTTTCTGAAAGCAATTTCCGTGCATCCTTTGCATTTTTGCTGATAAACGTTTACAAAAAAAACCATTTTGAGATGTGTTTGCGCGCAATGGACAACAAACATGACATGATTATCCGGAATCAAACATAAGAATTGTCTTTATGACGATTGATGGAAAACAAATCTAACACCTATGCGTTTCTTTTTTTGAAGAGTGTATATGTGTATGTAATAAGAATATTTGGGGATCAAATTTACATTTTGAGAATCGTCAAATATTTATTATCCATTTTATTATGTTCATGTATATAAAAAAAAATACAAGCCTACAACAAGTCTAAACTTATTCCTTGTTTGTTGTTGAACCCGTGAAGATCCAGGTTAGAATAGGTCTTCAGCAACCCATGCTTGCCGTAAAAGGTGACTATGCTTGTCGTATAAGACGACTAACGGGATCGGGTGGTCAGGCTCGTTGACTTGGTTGATGCATGTCATCGTATCACAATTACGTAGATCGATGCTCATGATGTCAATCACTGGCTTGTCTGATCCAGATTATGTACAGACCGCCGTCATATAGCTAGAATATTGCTGAGTGCGCTAAACAACAAACCAACCAACCAACCTTATTTGTTGACAATGGCTTTGCATGGATCAGTTCATAACGGTATAGGGACGGAGGTTTTACTATTGTGTGCCTTGAACCATGAAGTTGGTTTGGTAACACTGTAGGTAAGGTGCACTGTAGGCAATAAGAGAAGACAACCTTAGTTCAAGCAGGACTATGCAAGAAATGTTATGTATTAAACTGCCTGGTGGTTATCAGTCCTGCTTCCTCAGGTGAATACTGTAAATAGCTACCACATACATCTGTAGCATTATGAATACAGGTAAATATCTATTGCTACTATCATTTTTACCTAGTATTTGTGATGGCATTGATAGGGTCGTGCATTATCAATCAGTTGATGGAGGTAAGAATGGAAACAGTTGTAATCTGTATGACTCTGCATAGATTAATCATAACAGCCAATCCTAATATACTACAGTAAACTACGGTTATAACGAACTCAAAGGGACCACTAATTTTAGTTCGTAATAACCGTAGTTCGTTATAAGCATATATACAGCCTAAATACAACAAATGGTCGGGACTAAAAAATAGGTTCGTTATATCGGTTAGTTCGTTATAAGCGTGTTTGTTATAAACGTAGTTTACTGTACAGTAAACTACGGTTATAACGAACTCAACTTGACCTGTAATTTTAGTTCGTTATAACCGTAGTTCGTTATAAGCATATGTACAGCATTACTACAACAAATAGTCGGGACAAAGGTAAGTTCGTTATATCCGTCGGTTCGTTATAAGCGTGTTCGTTTTAAACGTAGTTTACTGTACATGAGTAACAGTGCTTCTTAAAGACATTAAAAACAGTTATCGTAATGAGCTGAAAACTTTACAGTCCTACGTATAACCCAGTCTCCTCAGCATTTTGCCCCGATAAGCTATCACTTGTATTTGTTGTAAAGTGTCAAAATAAATTCAGCCAACAGGCCTTAACATACGACCTTTCTTGACCCCATTCCTTGACTTTTCTCATTAGCGCTACGACCTTGCTTCCAGATGTGTCATTTGAAGAATTCTTTACTATTCTGTGTAGCCTGTGTTTTCAGCAAGTTGAATGAAAAGTTGAATGTATTTATTATTACATGGTTGATTAATTAATGAGTATAATGTTGAACTGATGGTTTATGTTGAATTGGAGTGATTTACAGTTACACTAAAATTTGCAACTATTCAATAATATTTTATACATTAGAAGAAGATTTATTGTACAAAAATACCCACAGGGAGCAGGGTGTATACTTCTACTTATAACGGAAAGTTGACATACACCATTGAATACAAATATTAAAAAGGCCTAGAGAGGAGATGCAAATTTTCTTTGCATGAACATTTTGTAATGTAAATGAAATAGGGGAGAACCTAAAGTGCGTCCTCCAGGCAAAGAGTAGGGTTTGTTCTTTCAATAAATATGTATTGAATAGCAAACATCAAATGAATTTAAAACAGAACGCACACAGCTGAGCATGAACTTCCGAGTACAGTAGAACATGGATAAAACGAACTACAAGGGACCAGAGAAATCAGTTCATTATATCCGTTGTTCGTTGTATATGTTTGTGTTTATATCCGCTATCTTGGATAAAACAAATGACAATACACGTATTTACAGCATTGATTTGTATTAGCAGTGATCACTTCATAGCATTCAACTGATAACATTTCATAAGATTCATTTAATAACATCAAATTCATAACATTTTCAGAACATTGTTATCAAATACATGTAAATATACTTAGCAAATTTACGATTTGCATGCGGGGAATCAGTGACTTTGCTCTGGCATGTATTTTCTGAAAGTTATTCAGCATCAAATAGTATTGTATGAAAACTATGCTAAACTAATTGTAAACAGATTCGGTTAACTATTTACATATACTTACTTATATACACATCGTTGTGAATTATGATTTTGGAAAAGAAAAAAATTATAAGGCACTTCATACAGTCAATGAAAGAATCCATTTGGATCATGGATTGATATGATGTGTCAATTATGTTTTGTTTGTTTGTTGTTTAACGCCGCACTCAGCAATATTCCAGCTATATGACGGTGGTCTGTGAATAATCAAGTCCGGATCAGACAATCCAGTGATTGACATCATGAGCATCGATCCACGCAATTGGGATGACATGCATCAACCAAGTCAGCGAGCCTGACCACCCGACCCCGTTAGTCGCCTTTTACGGCAAGCATGGGTTGCTGTACACCGGATCTTCCCGAGCCGTGAATAATGTAGTGCACATTGATGCACTATGACATACATGTGTCTGCCGTTTTCAATCATCGACAAAAATGGCATGTTCATGTACTGTTACAGCGTTAAGTGTTCATAAAATAAGTACATAAAATAATGGTAATTCACACGACTGTGTGGTGGTACAAAGTGTTCATGACAGTATCATCTGTATCACTTTCCACAACATAGTGAAAACATGTCCATGTACTGCCTGTTGTCTGGCCATAACATATGCTGATTTAAATGTCTGTACATTGCTGTGTACAAACACAAACTGATAGTATGATTTTGATGAACATGTTCTACTTTATACAAATTGGTCATGAGAAGATACATATCTATCCATATTGTAGATGTTACAAATACAAGGCACAAATATCTACAAAATACTGACTATTGAAATACACTGTGAGAATATGAGCATAAAATGTCTTTTCATTTTCACTATCCACAAGAAATTAACTGTCATGTCCTGATTGTGTGATAGAAACTGTTTGTGAAATGTGTTGAATTCTTCTTTGAAGGAAGCAGTACTAACAAAATGCTGAATTATGTTGTTCACATTGTCAACTTTGGTATGTATAACATCTTCCTCAAAATATTTATCAACATTGTCTGAAGTCTGATGATGTCAATTAAGGTACTGACTATATTTTCAAGGTTTCTTTCTGGGTGTGGATGTAAGTTGTCTCTTCCTCCTTTGTCCTTTCTGTGGTGTATCTTCTTGTTTTCTCTTGCCATCTTTAATTTTAGTTTGGATGTCTTGTACATTCAAATGGACCTCCGGTCCAAAGTCATATTCGACCTCTCCTGTTTTTGTTATTTTGAGGCATGAGGAAGCCATGAAATCCGGCAGATCAGCATCGTGGTATCCTGCTGTCTCCAGGTACTCTACCTGGAGTTGGATCAGGTCAGCTAGGCGATGGAGTGCACTGGTTGGTGGCATCCATGTTTCGGCATTTCTGAGCTCAAGCTGGGAGATAAAGCTGTCATCGGATTTCTTTTTCAGTTTCATGCTCACCGTTCTTACTTCTTCTACGGTAACAGAATTTGGAGATACATTTTTTGGACAGTAGAGATGTTTTACGAAATCTTCATAAATATCTTTGTCAATTGAGGGTTGTGTTCCTTTCAAAATCTGGAAAAGATTTTGCCTAAAGTGACTGCTGGAGAGGTATGTCTTCAAAATTTGGGTATGTGAGATACCTTTGAATTTGGGGATGAAGTCATTCCCTCCAATGCAGAGACCCAATGCCAGCTTCACTCCTATGTCTGGATCTTGGTATTTATCCTCAAAAAGTTGAATGATGGCTGTGATGTTGTAGATATCATGAAGCATATGTGGCTTCTGCAGAACCACAAAAACTTCATTTATAAAAGAGCCATTGTCATGACGAGGCCAGTGCTTGGATATGGCATAGAGATGAATGCAGACAGCATCAATGTCACCTGATGTAATCAAACTGACAACTCTTTCGCCTGCTTTGAGATCAGATCTGCTGGCTATTAGCCAGTCTACCTGTGACATTTCTGCTTCACCTTTACGTTGTTGAACATCCACCAGAGCTGTAATGGTTGGTTTTTGACTTTCTTTGTCAAATGTACAACGGATTGGCGTTGCATAATGTTTGCATGTGCAAGCTCCATCACACGTACAGGTGTGCATTTCAAGTTCACTGTCTATGTCAAGTGTAATGCCTGGTGGCAATAGCAGGTCTTTAGCGTTAGCTGCAACATACTTGCTAATGAGAGATTTCCCAAATGTTGTTCCAGTTATGACATCTCGTTGAAATCGCTGCTGTGTAATGGCATCATCAGCTGGTTTCAGATGGGTAATAGAAGATACACTGCAGGCCTTTTTTCTCTGTTGCCTTGTGCCTGCCTTAAACTGATCGGGAGTGAAGGAATACTTCTCTTCACACAGCACTATTCTCTCCAAATTTGGCATTTTTGACGGTAGGGGACGCAATATAGCATTTTGTACATAGTGCAGATATTGCTTTCCTGTGATAACTTTACTTTTAAATTTCACTCCAGCAAATTCAAGGGTAACTAACTTTACATTACTTGTCAACCATATTGGCAAGGGTCCTTTAACAGACTCAATGACACCATGCCTGTTTCCTGCCTGACAATCTTCAATGCATTTCATGAGAGCATTCTTCATAGAAGTTGATTTCTGGATCTTAGGTTTGCTGCAGTCTGGTTTCACTAGTGCTTGGCACATGTTCATTTCCGAGGAAAGGCAATCCGTTTGCTTAACTTCCCGTCTGATGGCCTTGGATCGTTTTTGTTCTTTCTCATCTCGTTCAGACTGTTGGACGTGTCTAGTGGCTTTGATTGTTCTCTTGATGGTAACACCTTTGGATCTCTTCACTCTGCTGAGCAGTGGTTTAGGACCTTCCACTGTCATAAGGCTTGGAACATCAGCAGAGGATAAACCAAACAGTTGGTCATGACAAATGAACTTTTGTATCAGATATTCGCCAATTGCTCTGGTGTCATCATCAAGAATTTCTCTGGACAGTAAAGACCTCTTTTCAGAATACATATTGAATGGAGTGGTACAGGCCTCCAAAGACAAAGAATTCTGGCGTAAAATGACTTCCACTACCCTGAAAATGTGCTCAGCATCTATGTTTGAAAATAACCACTGTACTCCGTCCTTTTCTTTGGTCTTCTCCTTGGTGGAATGGATATCATTGAATGCATCAATAAGCGACATCCTTCTTGAAGCAGATTCAAGAGATGAGCCCGATCTAAATCCCTTCAGTGCATCTTTGTGGTCCATCTCCCTCTTGGTATCACAAGCAAAATTTACCGTACTGTTCCCAATAGGTGTTGAGTACAGTGTCTCCTTTAGCTTCTGGTGGAAGATGCCTGCTGTATAGTGATGAGCCAGTAGCCTTGCACAATACGGAGCATACGAGGTAGCACCATTCAAGAAAGAAAACTTCAATGATGACTTTACAGTTCCCAATAGGAGACTGTATCCTTTGGAGCCCCCGAGCCGTTCTGAGACTGAAATAGCAACTACTTCATTGCAGTGTGTCATCATGTCATAATGGAGGGCAAAAGTAGCATTCATTTGCCTTCCTTTATCCATGAATTGCATCATTCGTTCATCCCATGTCTCAGAGGCAGTAGTTGACTTTCCTGTGATCAAGTGCCATGTGATTATCTTCGCATCATCATCACCCAAAGACTGTATAAATTTCAGTAAGAATGCCATTTGCAGTGCCTGAGCAATTCTTCTAACATGTCTTGTTGCTGTGTCGATGTGATCAGCTGTTAGTAGCTTTGACCATTCTGTGACATCTTGATCTCTCATAACCATGAGCAGCTCCACAAGGCCAGCATGTTTGTATGCACTAAACAAAGTATTCACCTTTGACTTTCTCAGATGTAAGAGGGGGAACTCTGGCAAAAACTTTGCATACTTTTTGTTTTCCTTAATCAAGGACAACAAATTCATACCAATTTTGTTGTCTGGTCCTAAAAGTATCCTGTCAAGGCAAACATCGTATCCAAGATTATCATCCAGCTCAGTCTTGATCAGAATATCATCCAAGATCTCCCTAAGCTTGTTTATGTCATCATCTCTGCCAGAAGCTGGAGGTGGATGTCTGGTAAGCAAAGGAGGGGGTGAATACTTCTGGAAGCCAAATGCAGTCATGATGTTTTCATCTCTTGGTGTGTCATCATCTAAAGTCAACTGATCTATTGAGGTTTCTAGCAGGGAGTCATCTAAACCTGTGGCAATCCCATCCATGGTTGTGTCTGCACTGTTGGCATCACCAGCTACTTCTTTTTCTAGGACATCAACAGCTGTCATTATATCAATAAGGTAGTCCTCTTCCTCACTATCAGACTGGCCTTCAATGCATTCTGGTAGGTCACATGGGGCAATCTAAAGGAGAAAAACATTTTTGAATTATGACCACACTTTTTGGGTGTTAGTTGCGTTTTTCATATATAATTGTTTTAACATACATACATACATACATACATACATACATACATACATACATACATACATACATACACGCACACTCACACACACACACACTCACATTCACACACACACACATTCACACACGCGCGCACACACAGATTCACACACGCGCACACACTCACACGCACGCACACTCACATGCACATACACTCACGCACACACACACACACTCACACACACTCGCACACGCACTCACACACACACTCACATGCATGCACACACACACTCACATGCACATACACTCGCACACTCACACTCACCCCCCCCCCCCCCCCCCCCCCACACACACACACACACACTCACATTCACACGCACTCACACACACACACACATTCTCGCACACACACACGCGCATACTCACACACACTCGCACACACACACACACACTCACACTCACACGCACCTGCAATGGAGATTCCACATCATACATGGTGACATCTGCAGCAACAGAATCACCAACATCTATTTGGTCCTGGGTCTGTACATCACAGCCTTCCTGAAGATCTTCATTTTTTTCAGGTGTCATTTCCTTGAAATATGTCCGTAGCCATGCTGTTTTCGTACACAAGCCATCTGAAACGTGTAACAATCTTCATTTAATTCTGTGGATGTAACATTATTAACTTTGAATAGAACTATGAAGGTAACTGTATATAGGCAAATGAATTTGGTTTTCTGCTCATCACAGAGTATAGGTTTTTCAAGTATTTATGTAAAATGGGAAAGACTTATTACAAGTACAAAAGTAACTATGCTTACCATCTAGTAGTCTCCACAATCGGGTACTTCCCCATCGGCAAATCTTGTGAAATATTCCAATACTGGTTGTTTCTTGTGTGGAAGGATTCAGAATGACATCAAAAGCTTCAGGTTTTGACAGTGATATTTGTCGTTTGCATTGGCATGCAAGTGTCCCGTCGCATATGTTTGCATCATGCCAAGATTCTGTTTCAACTGAATCCTTTGGCATGCCTTGCAGTGTTATTGGCAACATGCAGAGCTGTTTCGAACGATGTTCTCCTGGGCTTGGGTCACTGTGATACTTCAGGCGGACAAGATTGTCAAGCATCAGCACTATGTGGCATCCTCTCATGCTCACCATGCCCTTCACTTCACCTGCTAAGGTATTATATGTGAGAGGATGTTCCTTGATATAGGTTGCAAAGTACAAGGTGTCATCAATGGATTTGCTTGTTAAATTTCTTTCAGCAAGAGACAAAGATGTTGTTATTCCAGAAGCACTTGTTATTGAGAAGACATTGCTTATGCTATGGTAGTTCATTAGAAGCTCATCAGTTGTTGCCTGCTGCAGAACTCCGATAAAATTCTTGTTGTAAGTATTCAATAGCAGGTCATAAGCTGTATAGAGTCGTTCCAATTTCTTCTTCATGGTCTTTTGGGTGTTATTAGATTGCTGAATGGTATCTTTGTTGATGAATGTATCCAAGACGATTTGCACAACCAGTGGTACATCCAAAGTCCATTCCTTAAGGATTTCAAAGTTAGAGACAGAGAGTGGTTTCGGTAGATTTGCTGTGAAACAAGATCGACATTTTTCACGGGAATCGAGGGAAATCTCTGTAACTTCATTTTGTGAAAGAGCATTGAGCTGCAGAAAGTTTTCACTTTGAAGTTTCTTCATGCGAAAGTCATCATGAAGACTTAACCTTGCAATTTGGCCATTCTTTTGGTAATATGGTTCAAGTGATCCAAGTGGAAACAACACAATAAGATGACATTGTAAGCAGTGCTCTTGATTCAGTCTACTGGTAATGATCCTTTGTAGAAGTTCAGCATTTCTTTCCTCAATTGCTGGGTTACATTCCACAAACACCTCCACAAGATCTTGATGATTTTTGGTTGAAACACAATGGCAACTCACGCAGGTGACTGATAGTATTTCTCCAGGGAAAATGTTAGTTAGATCATTTAATATTTGATTTTCTACAATATGAGGGCGATGACGAAATGTTGCGTATATCTCAATGCCTTCTGCTTCAATGTGCGAACTATATCTGTCTAGTCGTCTTGTGATTGTGGATTTTGCAGTTTTCAGTATAGCACTGCTAAGATGTTTTGCACTGGCAACTGTTCCAAAATATTCCCATTTTTTGTCAGTGGTATTATCACGCTCATTCGCTACAATGTCATTTGCAAAGTGCAACTCAAACAAACAAATGTTAGACCACTCCTTCTCTGTGAAATGCTTCTTGTATAATATTTCCAAGTTCGGAACATCTGATTCAATGGCAGTGCAATCAATAAGGTCATTGATATCATGTGTAAATTGTGATGTTGCAATCTGTTTATATAAGTCAAATAATGTTCTTGAGTTTGTTTTCTGTTGGCCTCCAAATATACTGCTGTGAATGCTCTGTGTTATCTTTGAGCATATTCTAAAGTCATCACTGTGGTGACATATGTATTTTACAATTGCAACTGTATTGAGAAAAATTGCATTTCCGTCTGTCTTGATATAATTATTGCGATAGGAAGCAACTTCTCTTCGGATATTTTCTTTTTTTATCTTTATTCTGTCTTCTTCATGGTGTTCAGTCCTCAAAAATTTACAGAAGTCCTCAATGTTGATCCATTTGTTCTCCTTATCAACTAAAACCGGTATTGTGCTCAGCCCAAACATCCTTGTTAAGCAAGCCTAAAAGAAAAAGTTTGCTTGCTGGTATTATGCTGTTTTTTCATACCCAAATTAAGTTTCAATATGGTTTCAAAGAGTGTATACATTATCAAGGAATTAGTTTATCAAATATACAATTAATTATAATTAGGTTAGATAATTCTGTTTGGATTTACGTTTCAACTGTTTTTCTCGAAAGTAAATGGTAACTGGTGTGTATGTTATCATTTCTCAATACACATACATCTCTAAATAAATATATATTTACAGAAGTCACTAGGAATAACTTAAAACATTACTCACCCAACTTCATGATGTATCCAGGCTCATAAATGTAGCACTTTGTGTGATGAATATATTAACTTCACTGATAAAATGTATTCTCTCACAAGATATTTCTATGTCCACGTGTGTACACAGCTTGTTGAGGAGAGTAAAACAAATCGAAGTGGGAGAACCATGGAATATTAACTGTAGCTAAAATTAGATTGTTTATCTTTATTCAAGTTAGCAAGAAATCCTAAACCATCCAGATGCTGGAGAATTTCTCCCGCACCTCACCCCAACCCCCCAGTGTGTTAATTAATTGTCCACCAGAAAATTGGTGTTGACAGCAACAGAGATCTTAGATGTGCTCAGATCGAGCACTGCTAAGGGGGTTGTACGTAGGACTGTTTAATAAGCATGTGAATAAGAGAACGTAATCTCTATTAATCAACGCTGTCACGCAACTGCCAATACTTTTTATCGAAAAAACCCACCCCAAGTGAATAGTATGCTTCCGGGTGTAAATGCGCTTTATACCTCCTTGTTCCTCAGTGTTCGTGTTCATACTCTTCACATAAGTGGAAGCTGTGTGCTAAACGCAAGTCTGCAAAGACCGCCTCCGTGGTCTAGTGGTAGAGCGTCCGCCCGGAGAGCGGAAGGTCCGGGGTTCGACCCCCGGCCGCGTCATACCAAACGACGTTAAAAGATGGTACTTGTTGTTACCCTGTCTGGCGCTCGGCATTAAGGGACTGGTCGGCTCGGAGTCAGTCAATCTCGTTAAAGTCAGATCTAAGTACTCGCTGCCGCTAAACACAGATCTGAGGACATCCCATTACGGGTCACGTCAGAACGATCTTTCGCGAACTTGGACCGTACACTGAAATGACTAACAAGAAGTCGACATCAATTAGAAAGCAGCTTTCTCTAGCATTACGGCACTCGTTCCGACATGGCGACATCTATTTCAGACAACGCTTGAAAAATATGTTGACACAGTTTTCGAGTAAAATTTTGAAAACTGAACAAACGCACATTCCGGAATGTCTAATATATGGCTGAGATTGTATGGCAGTGCTTCCCACGTACTGTGCAAGGCTTCCTCCGTTCAAATGTTTATCCCACAGAAGCGAGCAATAGATTATAATTTTGACGGAATAAGTCGTACGGGCCGTAACTGTCGTTCGGAATACCCAGTGTTAACGTTTTCGAGGTTGCATGATTAGCAAACACATTTCGACTGTCACTTTCATGATCTGGTAAGCGAAGCTTTGATTGGTCGGATGAAAGGTCGTTCTGACGTGACCCGTAATGGCATGTCCTCAGATCTTTGTTGGGCGACAGCGAGAACAAAGATCTGATTTTAATGAGGTTTGGAGTCAGTATACTGTGTCTGAGTAGGGTATTCGTGTGAAACTGCGGCATGGTATCTCAGTGAGCTAGCACTATAAATCGGCATCATTCCGGCTAAGTACAAGCAGCCACACACACACACACACACACACACACGTACATGCACGTCGCTATATATATGTGCAATAATCTTGGACGCGACGTTAAACCGAATTTCACCTCACCTCACCTCACTCTGCAACAAGTAAGTTAGCGTCCGATTCCGACTATATCATTAGCATTGTACATGAAGTCCACAGTTGATAGGCATAGTTCATATGCCACCACGTGACCCTAGTATCAAGTGAACACAGTTTATCCTGGTTTCAAATGCAGTTAAATCCTGTCCAGAATTGTGCATACTGAAACAATCCTTTGTGGTTTATTATATTTTTTTTAAATCCTTTGTCGTTATTTTACTTCTGGGTCGTCTAGATATTTGAACGCACTCACGATAAAGCTCATAGCAGAATAAGGAAAGCGAATTTGCAGACATCTTAAAGACTGACCGCATAGGGTGTGTGAGGTGAAATGGGGTTTAACGTCGCTTTCAAGATCATTGCACTTATATAGCGTGTGTGTGGCTGCTTGTACTCGTCCGGAGTGATGCCGATTTATAGTGCTAGCACACTGAGAGACCAAGCTACAGCGCAACATGAATACCACACTTAGAAACAGTACACTGACACCGAGCCGACCAGTCCGTGTTTTAGCTCCTTGATGCCGAGCGCCAGGCAGGGAAACAACAAGTACCATCTTTTAAGACGCAGTCGGGGGTCGAACTCTCCGGGCAGACGCTTTACCACTAGACCACGGAGGCGGTCCCGACCAGAAAGAGAGAGAAACAACACATCAGGGTCCACTTGCACAAAGCGATCTTAGCGCTAAGATGATCGTAAATCCCATTCTTCTGCGTTGGCTTGCGATAGTCGTAGCGCTAAGATCACTTTGTGGAAGTATACCATATACTGGTTATTATTTGACTAGTAGTGGGCACCCTTAATTAACACTTGCCAGGTGTGTTTGTTTGTTTGTTGTTTAACACCGCACTCAGCAATATTCCAGCTATATGACGGTGGTCTGTGCATTATCGAGTCTGCACCAGAAATCCAGTGATTGACATCATGAGCATCATCCACGCAATTTGTATCGATGACATGCATCAACCAAGTCAGCGAGCCTGACCACCCGATCCCGTTAGTCGCCTCTTACGACAAGCATAGGGTGCTGAAGACCTATTCTACCCCGGATCTCCACGGGCACTTGTCACGTGGACTAATCCTATTATATAATCGTTAGCTGTTTCTATATCATAAATCAAAAGTTGGACCAGTGTAGCTAAACCTCATGTAGCACATTATCAATGTTTGCAGCCGAGAGGATGTGCAAGGTGCATTTACAAACAAACACTCACTTCCTCCTTAAAACGATTACGAAAGCGTCCATGAAGTCAGGCTGTCGATAACATTGAGTGGTTGGAATACCACGTGCTCGTACACCGTGAAATCGTGTTAAACTCACACAGTAGACCTACACACGTTTAGTGGTCACGATCCTCATGCGTTCATGTAAATTTAGGTTAACATGACATACTCAGGTTAGGAGTTCATTTTATAGTGTGAATAAAAAGTGCTCATTGTTCTTAGAAATCCACATGACACACCTCGCATGCATGCCTCACACATCTTATTCCATTGACAGTGACACCTGTTGAGACACAGGACATGAGAAATCACATACCACAACATATCAACTGTTCTGAGGTGTAACCTACCTGGATTTTCCCTTCCCGCGATGTGTCTATCACTACCCAAGGGGGATGGATGCACAACCCTGCCTCGCCATGACTTTCCCTGACAACGAGGAAATAAGTCGAATGGGTTTCCTGTTTGAAATAGCGCGACGGGTTGGTTGGTTGGTTGGTTGTTTAACGCCGCACTGAGCAATATTCCAGCTATATGATGGCGGTCTGTAAATAATCGAGTCTGGACCAGACAATCCAGTGATTAATATCATGAGCATCGATCCACGCAATTGGGATCGATGACATGTATCAGCCAAGTCAGCGAGCCTGACCACCCGATCCCGTTAGTCGCCTTTTACGACAAGCAAAGTCGCTTTTTACGGCAAGCATGGCGCGACGGGAGAGAAGCCTATCCAAACGAACATTTATCCGTTATAGTCACACTGTAGATATATGCACCTTTCAAATCAAGCCGTCAGGGAAACGGTACATAGATGACGTCAGTCCTGTATCATCACAGATCTTTATAACGTTATACAAGTCCGTGATGCCATCATAAAGAAAATACCGTATTTGCTCTATTAGACGCAGGATTTCTAATAGACGCCGGGAATCTAATAGACGCCGGCCTCTAATAGAAGCCGGGTCAATTGTTCAGTGCAAATATAGAAGCCGGGCCTCTAATTGATGCAATTAATGATCCCTTTTTGGGACCTAAATTACATAATGAGGACTCCCTTTCTCTTCCGGTAACTCCACGTGTGCCTGAAAACGGTCGATATGTCGGGACATTCGTGGTCATAGTGAAATGGGGGTATTAATAGAAGTCGGGCATCCAATAGACGCCGGGCCTCTAATTGACGCCGGGTCAAAGGCTTGTCCGAAATAAATAGAAGCCCGGGCGTCTAATAGAGGAAATACGGTAGTCAGCACATCCAGGTCACTTAGTCCTGATAAGATGACAAGGGGTCATTTGTTTCCTCTGTGACACTTCCTAAATTGTTGTCTCACGTCACTGTAGAGCAAACATATTTTCCTCATAGACAGGAAGTTTATGTGTTCCCACTATATTTCCTTTAATTCATTTTCATTAATCTCTACGTGTCACATTGTATTGCGAAGAATTGGAAAATGTTCATGGCGATCTCTGGCAATGATGGAAGTTCCTGCATCAGACGTAAGTTGTTACACTTCCACTTCTGTCGGGACCTGGAAGATCCGGGGTAGAATAGGTCTTCAGCAACCCATGCTTGCCGTAAAAGGCGACTATGCTTGTCGTAAGAGGCGACTAACGGGATCGGGAGGTCAGGCTCGCTGACTTGGTTGATGCATGTCATCGATCAACGCAATTGGGATTGATGTCAATTACTGGATTGTCTGATCCAGACTCTATCATTTACAGACCGCCGTCATATAGCTGGATTTTGCTGAGTGCGGCGTTAACAACAAACCAAGCAACCAATCAAAGGTGAGATATTTCAGCCATGGTGTATTGACCAATCAAAGGTGAGATGTATTAGTCATGGTGTATTGACCAATCAAAGTTGAGATGTGTCAGTCAAGGTGTATTTGCCAATCAAAGGTGACATATATTCCATCCATTTTGTACTAATGGATCAAAGGTGAATCAATACACTATCAAGGGTATATTTGTGTTCTGTGTGGGTCTTCTTTTCTAAGATCAAAGTTTCTCTATTCAGATGGTAACGAAATAAAGTCGAATCATTTTAGAAAGTGGACATCTGTTTGTCCCAAGATCCCATATATCCTTATTTAGAATGGCCGATCAAAGTTTGCTCAGGGTTCACCTGGCTTGGCCTCCAATAATTGTGTGCTCAGATCTTCATGTCGAGAGGCATCACATCAGAGAAAAAGATCGGATTTTAACCAGATTGGTTTGAAAAGATCTTCTTTCACCGGTCAGCTTAAAGGGCAACAATAATCCAAGTTTGAAAGTATTGAAATATGCAGGCTTTTTCTTTGCAAATTCACAATTTTCTTATTATGGACTATAATCTCGACTGGTTTGACTTGTGTTCAGGGCTCATTGGCATCTGGTGATTACACAGAGTATTTAAAGCGACACCAGCAAGACAATTGAGAGTTGAGTCGTGTTGACCTTTAATGTGGGAGGAAAGCCCGAAGTAATGCATGCTTTGTGAAACCTGCCATCAAGTAAATGACATACAGATAGGTTGTGTAAATACTGATACAAAACACCAGCAATGTTTTAAATTTTTTATTTTAGAAAAACTTCTGACAAACCATAAAATATACTGTATATGAGTTTTTTATATATAAAATAATATTTATAGCGAGATTTATATTGTGACCACGAATGTGGAATATTCTTCATATTACACATTCTAATTTTACGACATATCCATAAAGGAAGAACAGACATTCAACAAGATGATATTTGTACTCACAGACAAATAATTCCTGACATTGCTATGCTTGGTGTTCATGGACTTCAGCATAAACATACTGACAACATCAAGGTAGTAGCTTTACTACGTCCTTCAATGTCAACCTGAGCTCCAACAGACACAGCAACACAACAAAGAAAACAACTGATGTCCGATACAATCATAGCAATTTATTACAGTCCTCAAACATAGTGTCTGTTCATTTACCATAGGGTCGGAAATAATCGAATTCATAACATGGTTTGTTCTCCTTGCGGTGATTTACTGAATGATAAACACCCACTCTGGGAACCTTCGTCAGGTATTCGGAGTGGTGCTACCACTCATTTTACCTGTAATAAATTCATTAACTGAGCATCAAGTGAATGACGACAAATACACAAGTGTAGTGTAGGGTTGTACCAGAAAACGTGGATGACAACAAGGGAGTAGTAATCGTATTATCGACGCAATCCGAAATCTGAAAATGCTTTCACTGCATGGATACCTTTTTTAAACTATAACCATCTGGGGTATTTCCAAATGACGACATCTTATATGAGATATCAACATAATGTGCTGCCTCTTCAAGGATGTTGATAAAATGTACAAGCTTTCAGAATATCTACCCAAATTTTAATAATAATAACTCCCTGTATAGAATCCGACCTCGGAAATGTTGGACAAGTCCATTTTACAAAAAGGTGGGTTATGTTTGGTATTTCCCGCTTATTCTCACAATCCTCATGTCGCTTATCTGTATCTGTTCTCCCAACAGCGATTGTCATGTCTCTCACTCTTTTGGATGCGATTGTTCAGCCACTGCGTTTATCAACATTGCCCAGCTTCATCTATGGGGAACAACTCACTAGACACTCCCCTCTAACTAAAACATAACGTCATCCAATATATGACGTCAAATTAGAACTACATGTAAGTTGGCGGGGGATATAGAAACGGGCTCCGTCCGTCCGTCCGTCACGTTTCGTTTCCGGAGCATAACTCAGAAACCGTTCAATATTTTTTCATGAAACTTTGCAGGTCTGTACATGCTGAACTGGTGCCTTTTGCTATTTAGAAATTTTAGAATTTTTTATTTTTTACGTTTCCATGGCAACAAGATGGACTTAGGTTCCAAACTCTTCTTTTTTTACACTTTCCATGACAAGTTCCACCTCGGTTAAAAAAGGTTAGGGTTTGTTTAGATTTAATTATGTCATAAATTCTGCAACAGGGTTGGGGGATATAGCCACCTTAGTGGCAAACTCTTGTTGTAACATAAAGCCTGAGTGACGTCATAGCTGAAGATTGTGGACCTCATTTGACAATTGTGGTTTTCTATGATAGTGTCATGATCAGTGCATACAAGAAGCCCAAAAGCAAAAGAAAAAAAAGGGCAATAAAGAAATTATTACTCGTATCTGTGTCATACTGATTTCACGAAACTTGAGTAAGAATTTGTGTATTACCCTCGCTCTCTCTCGCTCAGTAAATAAACGAAATCCGACATTTGTTTCGTAAAATTTAGTATGACACACATGCTGGTATAATACTCTCTATTTAACAAACAGGAAATCCCGACATGCCTGTTAACTACTACACATTCTGCCGAGTGGAAAGCATAATGGAATATCTCACTAAACAAAGGTAACACAGAATAAATACAGCCAAATCAAGTCTACCCGTCTCTGATCATGAGTGAGTGAGTGAGTTTGATTTTACGCCACTTTTAGCAATATATTCCAGGAATATCACGGTGGGGGACACCAGAAATGGGCTTCAACCATTGTGCCCATGACGGGAATCGAACCCGGGTCTTCGGCATGATGAGCAAACGCTTTAACAACTAGGCTACCCAACCACCCCCTATGGTCATGGCTACATGTAATGATTTCATCTTATTGGTGAGATCGCTGAGCTTTGATCCATCAACGTGCACACACAATGGAATGATAAAACTCACTTATCAGAATATGCAGTAAACACAAATAACAGTAAATCTCATCTTACAACTTGGCATGTGATGGCCGGAAAACAGTAGACACATAATGGCACCATCACTGTAGAGGACAATATGCTGGACGAAAGGTATCAGTGTATGGCGTTTTATATTCATTACTTCCTCCACAGAGAGACTAAGTTTTAAAGCTTTTTTATTTACAGCTGTTCCTGAATAGCACTCTTATGAAGAACCTGAATAGCACTCTTATGAAGAAAACAATCGCAAATTGTTTCCCTGTCCGACAGTGTTACAACTGATGCAGGAGATGAAACCATTTCATCCCTTCCTGCTGCTCGAGGCAGGATGTTTTTCACTCATCTAAACTTTTTATCAATCCTGATATATTTCACTACAATTGTATTGTTATCTTTTTGTCAAGAACCTGCCAAAGATTTTGAGAAAATAAATCCTGAAACCAACTTATTAAAAAGAAAGGCATTAATGTATTATCACATGGATATAAATGTTTTATCACATGGATATAAACGTTTATCACATGGATAAAAATGTATTCTCACATGGATAAAAATGTATTCTCACATGGATAGAAATGTATTATCACATGGGTATGCACTATAGAACGTCTTATATGAATCAAGATGGACAGTGTTATTAAATCCTATAGCTCAATACAACAAAATGCTGTTTCCTGGCCAAAACCATACAAATGCTTGTATACCTGTGAAAGGAAGAAATTAGAAAGACATTTAGGTTCATTCTGTACATGGACGTTTCTGTGAAGAGGTATATAAGAATATAAGGGCAAGTTAGTAATTTAAAAAAAAGAAGTTGTTATTGTTTTTGCTTCACTCTTGAATAAGAAATATTTTTACAATATGTTTAAAAGTCATACATGGAACACAAAATTGTCAAAGTGAACATGTATTGGAATAACAATACATTACATAACTGTACTTTTGACATTCAACATAGATATAATATATTTACATATTGGATTGTATTCCCATCTGAGTGTCCTTCATCACAAAATAAGTGTATACATATCAAAACATATTATTAAAAAAATGTTCTTTAAATCATTTCCCTGATTGTAGTATGGAGATTGACTTCAGCAGTCCCACTCATTCGCTTCTTATTCCAACCTGTTGGACATTGTTACCGTGGTAACTCTTCCATGCTTTATCTTCAGGGTTATCACAAAAATGTTTAAATCCATTTATACTAAGTTTGTGTCTAAAATACCAAAAACATTTTATTTGTAAAGTCTACTCCATCAACAAAGTATATTGATAATGTATTTACAAAAACAAAACAATATCAATAACTGACAAATAATCCAATAGTTTCATATCAGTACACCGGACCCATCAGATTTTTTATAATACTCCAAATTTTACAAAAGAGATAAACAAAGAAACATGTAAGCATGTCATTCTTATGATCCACATCTTATGATCCACATCTTATGATCCAAGATTTGCAAGAGTGGGGGTCCCTATAAAACCCAAGTCACGAGAGTGCAGTTAAAGTGTAAAGTATCTAAAAAAAGAACATCGCTTCACCCCAAATCCTGTTGATCCGCCAGTTAGGCTCCATGATTTTGTTCAAAATGCCAAAAATTGCAGATATGTGACACTAAAAGTATGTTTGAAATGAAACAAAACCATAACAGTATCTGTTAATTATGTGAACCAAATGTCATGTTATATGAACAAAACAATATCACATAAAGGTAAAATCCTTAAATTCAAGAGACACACTAACAAATCAGGGCCTTGTTTCAAAAGACAGACAAAATAAAAACCAACATGTTTAATGTCCCTTACTGAAAACATCCTCAACAAATTTCCTACATTCCGCCATGGTGTTTCAACAGAAGTTGGTTCATGTTGGTTTATTGGGGAATACAAAATTATTTTCCTTATGACATATTGGTACCCTGCATTCTGGTTGTGTATCTAAATCATGTTTAAAATTGGATTTAATTTATAATGTTAAAGTCAGTTATTATTTGAAAACATTTTTCCTAAACCCAACATTAGGCAATTATCACACTTGTATTACCTGATCAGCATACATATGGTGATATTTCCAAGATGCAATTTTTTTATTATTACATGGCCTAGAAAAGTTTTGCTCATTTTTTAAGTGGGCCCAAAAGGGCCCTTACCCTACCCTGTCTTCTGTCCCACTTAAAAAATGAGCAAAACTTTTCTAGACCATGACAGTTATCATATGTCAACATATGAATGAGAGTTAGACTGTTGATTTCAATAATTGCACGTTTGAGGCTTATAACATTAATAATTGCATAGGTAAAGCTAAAAATGTGTCAAAAAATGTCCTTTTCTAATATTTCACATGAGCAAGACTGTAGCCCAAGCTGACTTTTGCAATGTTTATGTATTTCATCATTTCAGAAGTAAAAATCTAAAAATTGTAAGAAAGAAAAAAAAAGGAACATATCTACCATATTTTAAAGTTTTGAGAATAAACTTTTAAATGAAACATTCCAGTGAGCCGAAAAGAACCCATTGAACCCATTTTTGTGATATTTAAGCATTTGGTGAAAATTTTAAGTTCAAAAGGTGAAAACATTTTTATTTTATTGGTTTTAAGCTCTGCTGATCCTAAATGAATTAAGAGATGAACAAATAATATGTGTCATTTTTTCGACAGCTGTTTCCTTGATCATGTTGACATATGTAATGTCAATTCATGTCATTGACATGCATGTGGAAGAGTTCTTGTGTAACCATCTAGAAACAAGTGACACAAAATACCTTTTCTCCAATGAAATAGTTTTTAGCGTTGTACAAGCAGGACCATCTAAAATTATCACATGGATAAGACATTTCATAGAGTGGTCAGGACCAGTCAGCCATCAGTGTAATATCAAGCTGGCTCCATCCTTCTCCCATTAACTCAGATCTATGCATCAAAACACAGACACAGAGCATGGCCTTATGTACAATTCAATAACATGAAGTGAAACCCCTTTAATCCAAACGATTGCATGACCACTCACATAATCCCTTAGTGGACCCTATCCATCATGTCATCGGGTCTATCGAGAAACATTTAGCAAATGAGACTTGGCATCGCACTTGGAGGCTGACATGGAGACTGATCTGGAATGAACGCAGGTGTCTGTCCAGATGATTGGATGAATGCAGGTGTCTGTCCAGATGATTGGATGAAAGTAGGTGTCTGTCCAGATGATTGGATGAAAGTAGGTGTCTGTCCAGATGATTGGATGAAAGTAGGTGTCTGTCCAGATGATTGGATGAAAGTAGGTGTCTGTCCAGATGATTGGATGAAAGTAGGTGTCTGTCCAGATGATTGGATGAATGCAGGTGTCTGTCCAGATGATTGGATGAAAGTAGGTGTCTGTCCAGATGATTGGATGAATGCAGGTGTCTGTCCAGATGATTGAATCAAAGCAGGTAACTGTCCAGATGATTGAATCAAAGTAGGTGTCTGTCCAGATGATTGAATCAAAGTAGGTGTCTGTCCAGATGATTGAATCAAAGTAGGTAACTGTCCAGATGATTGAATCAAAGTAGGTAACTGTCCAGATGATTGAATCAAAGTAGGTAACTGTCCAGATGATTGAATCAAAGTAGGTGTCTGTCCAGATGATTGAATCAGAGTAGGTAACTGTCCAGATGATTGAATCAAAGTAGGTGTCTGTCCAGATGATTGAATCAAAGTAGGTATCTGTCCAGATGATTGAATCAAAGTAGGTGTCTGTCCAGATGATTGAATCAAAGTAGGTAACTGTCCAGATGATTGAATCAAAGTAGGTAACTGTCCAGATGATGCATGGACTGAAGGTTGAAGATGACGTGGGAAAGTTCCAATGACAAAGAAATTACAACAACATCAATCATGTGGACGTTTCTGTGTAAATGTTCAGGCAAAATCCTCGAGTAACATCAATTTATTAACCATGGTCCCAGTGTTCCTGAATAAAAAATCACAAATGTAAAATAGTTGAGGCCAAGATGGTTAAAACAGTCCCTTCCAAACTCTGCTGCCATATATTGGAATACCAGCACTCCTTACAGGGTGGTAGTCATCTCCTGCACTGTGCTGGAATTACTGGACAGTGCAGTCTGGTTCACAAGATCAGTCTGGGAGATATAGTCACTGTTGGAAAGTTGGCTCAAACTGCCATTGATACCAATTTTACAATAGTTTCCTGATTCTGCTGTTGGGCAAAAATCTTTTGGTTTTTCTGATCCCGGTTTGTTCATCATCATCTGCGAGGCATCTGACACAGACACATATCCATCAGCAGGAGGTGAAACGGTCTTCTGTTCCTCAGGTGGTGGAGGTGGTGGAACTTTGTCCAAAGGGATGTATGGACTGTCAGTTTCACTTTGTGGTTTGGGGGCTATGTTGAGTCCTTGGGGACCTGAAGACTCTCCATGAGGCTGAGTTTGGTCGTTGGGGACATCACTAGGAGAGGAAGAGGATGACTGATGTTCCAACAATGTTGAGAGGGGATGAGAGTTGGTGCATGAAGGAAACATCTCTTTGGAAGCCGATGAGAAATCTGCCTGGGATGATGAGACATAGGAGCTGTAGGTTGGTGGGGGGGTCTCCAACTTCTGGTCATCAGGAGATGGAGGTGGTTCATATGGAGGAGGAGGGCTTGATGCTGTGTCCTGCCCCGAGGAATGGGAAGACTCGTCAAATGGGGCATCACAAGGAGATGGAGTGGTCTTTCCTAGCAGGAGCGACAGTTTGTCCCTTGTAATGTAATTACTGCCAGCATCCTGTCTGGCGGAGTCTGAGTTGCCCGAGAGACCAAGCTTCAGATAGCTGTCCTCCAGACTACTTAAAACCCCAGTTGAATCCGACAGGGATGTCTTGCTCTTGTCACACTCAGAATCTGTGGACTCGCCTGAACATGGGATTTTCACTTGATTACATAGTGGCTTCTGTTGAACAATTTCAAGGTCTTTTACAGGTTTTTCACAGATGTCCTCAGATCTTAGGTTTGATTTGGGATTCAGTATACCTTTTAGTCTCGAGATGCTTCTGCTGGTGTCTGTCTTATTCTTTTTGGTAGATATTGGTGTTTCTTTCCTCAGATCTTTATTATTATTATTTTCCTTATCAGAAACTTGCCTGTCATCATCAACCTGCAACAAAGACTTATTATTATTTGTTTGTTTAAAGAAAAATACAAATACTAACAGAACATTTATGCTTTTGCAGTAAAGCACAACCATTGGTCTTGAACTGGACTCAGCATTAATCTTGTTCTTTCTCATATAGTATCAGGGTACAAAATTCAAATTATGATGTATAGAAAATATGTCAGTATTTTATTTATCTGCTTTTTACACTTGATATCCTGGAATCAAATATCCTTAGAGTTTTTATTTCATAGCTAACCGACAGTTCGGATAATATTTAAATCTGATTATTTGTAATCATGGGTTTCCAGCCATCTCATCTCGATAGAAATTTGCAGATGGCCTTCTGATGACTTTTCTGTGGCAAATGACCATAAAATACATTTGTCAAACCTTGCTTCTCTTAATTTTAGGGCACCACACCCTTGTCTACTAATTAAGAACATAAACTTGTAACTATGTGTATCTCAATGATACATCCTGTAGCTTAAAACCCAGATACCCTTCTGTATCTCACATTCTTTGCTCTGCTGAAAGTTCAGTATTTCTAAGATACCAACCATTTAAAATTCTTTTGGGCCTTGGATATTTGTTAGCAAAAGAAAGCTTTTTTAATATCTTCTTCAAGACATTATGTCTCTGAAAGGGCTGAACAATCAATTATTTTATTTAGGGTGTCTCATGTCCAGCAGACAAATTTGTTTTTCCCCAGTATTTTCTGGAAGAAATTGTTTTTTCAAAAACATTCAACTGACTTCAAATTGGTTAAAGCAGTTGAAACGCATGTACCTAACAGTATGAGAAACTTACCTGCACTAATGTTGGCAGTTTGATATCCATTGGCAAATTTTTGTATGTCCTGCGTACTTTCCTGGAAAGACAAGGATCTGTATCAGTAAAAGTGCCACTATATACTGTAAATCTGGAAATTAATGCGTCTCTAAATTAATACGACTGCTGACCCCTAGGCAAAAATGTGACTCAATGTCAATGCAACTCCCCCAACTCCATCCCCAGTGGAATGATACCTATCCTTACCTTAATCCAGTCAAACAGCAAACAGCACAGCTTATTAGCGCTGAGTAAAGCACTTCCGTAAAAAAAACAATAAAAAGTGTTTTCCTAAAAACAACACACAGTTTATATGTTTACTCTGTTGACTGGCATTAGGGAATTCAAAGGCAATAAAATAACTGAAAGTGACAGTCGGAATGTGTTTTCTAATCATGCAACCTCGAAAACGTTAACACAAGGTATTCCGAACGATAGTTATGCAATCAAGATTATCGTCTATCTTTTGCACCCGTGGGATAAACATTTGAACAGAGGAGGCATTGCACAGTACGTAAGAAGCGCTTCCATACAATCACAACAATATATCAGACATTCCAGAATGTTCATTTGTTCAATTTTCAAAATTCTAATCGAGAACTGTGTCAACATATTTTTCAAGCGTAGTCTGAAATGGAAGTCGCCAGGTTGAAACGAGTGCCGTAAAGCTCAAGAAAGCTGCTTTCTAATTGGCTGATGTCAGCTTTTTGTTAGTTGTTTCACTGGTCGGTCAAATTTCGCGAGGTCGTTCTGACGTGACCTGTAATGGGATGTCCTCAGATCTTTGTTTACCGGCAGCGAGAACTAAGATCTGATTTTAATGAGATGAGAGTTATAAACATAAAAATTTGTATCCACACACACACACAAAATATTGAAGTCAATGCTTTAATCTTCCAAGGTTGATAGCATCCATGGCATGATTCTACCTTAGGATTCTGCCTGTGAAATGGTGAGGACCTTTTGAGTCATGTGGTACGCTAATTTCAACACTTACCTTATGCAGCAGATCACAAGAGAAAGTATGACAATGCACCCAAATATTGCACCAATAGCGATGCCTGCAATTGATCCTCCTGTTAAATCTGTAAAAGACAAGAAAACTTACAGGTGTTCATGTAATAGATAGGACGCGCCACAGATCATGTGATCGGCCACTGCAACAGGTAAATATTGATCCTGTCGAAGGATTTGACCGTCTAGTAAATAACAGAAATGTCACAAATATATATGAACAATGTACTCATTTAAATTTACTCTTGTCATCATTTAGCTTGTGTTATATTTGGTGTAGAAGTTTTGGGACATAAAGCTAAAGAAAAATAATAGTCTTGGTTCTCAGGCACTGCCCACATCATCATAAAGTTCATTGCACATTTTGTTTTTGTTTCAGGGCGGTCGGGTAGCCTAGTGGTTAAAGCGTTCGCTCATCACGTCGAAGACCCGGGTTCGATTCCCCACATGGGTACAATGTGTGAAGCCCATTTCTGGTGTCCCCCGCCGTGATATTGCTGGAATATTGCTAAAAGCGGCGTAAAATCAAACTCACTCACTCACTCGTTTTTGTTTCCCTTTTCAATTTTTTTTGTGCATTGTGTTAGGATTTGTATATTTTTTGAAAATGGAAATAAAAACAAAATGTGCAGCAGACTTTATGTTGATGCGGGTGGTGCCTGAGAACTAAGACTATTATTTTTTTTTGCCTAATCAGACTGATTCATTCAAAATATAACAGGTAAGAGGCAGGGAATACGTTGGGCACTGGGCCATTTGGTTCGTTGTCATAAGATGTAGAAGTCTTGGCATGTAGCAATCTTGGGAGGATGCCATGCCTGACACAAACAACTTGTATCAGAGTTAATGCAAAAGGTATTCCTTACCACTATTAACAACAACTCTGGTGATGGCTTCACTCTCTGGCCCGTCCCCTGCCCTGGACACAGCTCGGAGTGTCACCCTGTACTTCACTCCTGCTGACAGACCCTGGATGACCTGACTTTCCTTTCTGTTGGACACATTGACCTGCATTGACGCACCTGGACAAGTAACAGATCTCATCACATCCCTGACATACTGACCACACCCTAGTGGGTTATTTCCGCACAATACTGAAACTATCAAAGTGATTCTCATTTAATCAAGGATGAAGGTGAGGTATTTGGCCCTCTCTGAGAAATCCTCAAGAACAGTATACATAAATATATCCTAACAGATGTACCTTTCTGTAACCAGAATACACAAATGTATATACACAATGTACCTTTCTGTAAACAGAATACACAAATGTATATTCATAATGTACCTTTCTGTAACCAGAATACACAAATGTATATACACAATGTACCTTTCTGTAAACAGAATACACAAATGTATATACACAATGTATCTTTCTGTAAAGAGAATACACAAATGTATATATGCAATGTACCTTTCTGTAAACAGAAATCACAAATGTATATACACAATGTATCTTTCTGTAACCAGAATTCACAAATGTATATACACAATGTACCTTTCTGCAACCAGAATTCATAAATGTATATACACAATGTACCTTTCTGTAACCAGAACACACAAATGTATATACACAATGTACCTTTCTGTAACCAGAATACACAAATGTATATACACAATGTACCTTTCTGTAAACAGAATACACAAATGTACAACACAATGTACCTTTCTGTAACCAGAACACACAAATGTATATACACAATGTATCTTTCTGTAACCAGAATACGCAAATGTATATACACAATGTACCTTTCTGTAACCAGAATACACAAATGTATATACACAATGTACCTTTCTGTAAACAGAATACACAAATGTATATACACAATGTATCTTTCTGTAACCAGAATACGCAAATGTATATACACAATGTACCTTTCTGTAACCAGAATACACAAATGTATATACACAATGTACCTTTCTGTAACCAGAATACACAAATGTATATACACAATGTACCTTTCTGTAAACAGAATACACAAATGTACAACACAATGTACCTTTCTGTAACCAGAACACACAAATGTATATATGCAATGTACCTTTCTGTAAACAGAAATCACAAATGTATATACACAATGTATCTTTCTGTAACCAGAATTCACAAATGTATATACACAATGTACCTTTCTGCAACCAGAATTCATAAATGTATATACACAATGTACCTTTCTGTAACCAGAACACACAAATGTATATACACAATGTACCTTTCTGTAACCAGAATACACAAATGTATATACACAATGTACCTTTCTGTAAACAGAATACACAAATGTACAACACAATGTACCTTTCTGTAAACAGAACACACAAATGTATATACACAATGTATCTTTCTGTAACCAGAATACACAAATGTATATACACAATGTACCTTTCTGTAACCAGAATACACAAATGTATATACACAATGTACCTTTCTGTAAACAGAATACACAAATGTACAACACAATGTACCTTTCTGTAACCAGAACACACAAATGTATATACACAATGTATCTTTCTGTAACCAGAATACGCAAATGTATATACACAATGTAACTTTCTGTAACCAGAATACACAAATGTATATACACAATGTACCTTTCTGTAACCAGAATACACAAATGTATATACACAATGTACCTTTCTGTAAACAGAATACACAAATGTACAACACAATGTATCTTTCTGTAACCAGAACACACAAATGTATATACACAATGTACCTTTCTGTAAACAGAAATCACAAATGTATATACACAATGTATCTTTCTGTAACCAGAATTCACAAATGTATATACACAATGTACCTTTCTGCAACCAGAATTCATAAATGTATATACACAATGTACCTTTCTGTAACCAGAACACACAAATGTATATACACAATGTACCTTTCTGTAACCAGAATACACAAATGTATATACACAATGTACCTTTCTGTAAACAGAATACACAAATGTACAACACAATGTACCTTTCTGTAACCAGAACACACAAATGTATATACACAATGTATCTTTCTGTAACCAGAATACGCAAATGTATATACACAATGTACCTTTCTGTAACCAGAATACACAAATGTATATACACAATGTACCTTTCTGTAAACAGAATACACAAATGTATATACACAATGTATCTTTCTGTAACCAGAATACGCAAATGTATATACACAATGTACCTTTCTGTAACCAGAATACACAAATGTATATACACAATGTACCTTTCTGTAACCAGAATACACAAATGTATATACACAATGTACCTTTCTGTAAACAGAATACACAAATGTACAACACAATGTACCTTTCTGTAACCAGAACACACAAATGTATATATGCAATGTACCTTTCTGTAAACAGAAATCACAAATGTATATACACAATGTATCTTTCTGTAACCAGAATTCACAAATGTATATACACAATGTACCTTTCTGCAACCAGAATTCATAAATGTATATACACAATGTACCTTTCTGTAACCAGAACACACAAATGTATATACACAATGTACCTTTCTGTAACCAGAATACACAAATGTATATACACAATGTACCTTTCTGTAAACAGAATACACAAATGTACAACACAATGTACCTTTCTGTAAACAGAACACACAAATGTATATACACAATGTATCTTTCTGTAACCAGAATACACAAATGTATATACACAATGTACCTTTCTGTAACCAGAATACACAAATGTATATACACAATGTACCTTTCTGTAAACAGAATACACAAATGTACAACACAATGTACCTTTCTGTAACCAGAACACACAAATGTATATACACAATGTATCTTTCTGTAACCAGAATACGCAAATGTATATACACAATGTAACTTTCTGTAACCAGAATACACAAATGTATATACACAATGTACCTTTCTGTAACCAGAATACACAAATGTATATACACAATGTACCTTTCTGTAAACAGAATACACAAATGTACAACACAATGTACCTTTCTGTAACCAGAACACACAAATGTATATACACAATGTATTTTTCTGTAACCAGAATACACAAATGTATATACACAATGTACCTTTCTGTAACCAGAATACACAAATGTATATACACAATGTACCTTTCTGTAACCAGAATACACAAATGTATATACACAATGTACCTTTCTGTAAACAGAATACACAAATGTATATACACAATGTATCTTTCTGTAACCAGAATACACAAATTTATATACACAATGTACCTTTCTGTAACCAGAATACACAAATGTATATATTCAATGTACCTTTCTGTAAACAGAATACACAAATGTATATACACAATGTACCTTTCTGTAAAGAGAATACACAAATGTATATACACAATGTATCTTTCTGTAACCAGAATACACAAATGTATATACACAATGTACCTTTCTGTAAACAGTATACACAAATGTATATACGCAATGTACCTTTCTGTAACCAGAATACACAAATGTATATACACAATGTACCTTTCTGTAAACAGAATACACAAATGTACAACACAATGTACCTTTCTGTAACCAGAACACACAAATGTATATACACAATGTATCTTTTTGTAACCAGAATACGCAAATGTATATACACAATGTACCTTTCTGTAACCAGAATACACAAATGTATATACACAATGCACCTTTCTGCAAACAGAATTCATAAATGTATATACACAATGTACCTTTCTGCAAACAGAATTCATAAATGTACCTTGCCAATGTATAGCCCAGAAGCAGGGACAAGTCTGTTCTTCAATGCATGAAACAGGTTCAAATGTGCAACTCATGCCAACTTTAAGCTACCAGACCTATGCATATGGGTATTTGTTTGAGTAGTTTAGCCATACCAATATTATAATTACAAATATGGAGACAATTACAAGCTGATGACTACAACAGCCGTGAATGGGGACATACCTTTACATCCACCATGTTGGTGGACGGCACAGTAAGACAGGACATAGTGGGTGATGTACACAGGGTCCTGGACACAGTCCAACCTCTTCCACTCCACATTCAGGGCATTGTCTGGCTGGCCCTGGGTGAAGTTGACACTTTGTGGCGCCAGGGGAACTGGAAACAATTAAAATAATTTCGCTACAACTAAAAGTAGAGCATGTCTTGCCACTGAAGAATTCTCATATATATAGAAAATTTAATTTAAAATTAATTTGGAGGAAATTTCTTGATTGAAATTTGATTTTTAAAGTTCACTGATGATAAAACTCATCGATCAACTTATTGTTTACATGACATCAGGTTTGTCCAAACATACAAACTGATGACTACATTGGAGGTCACTGTAGCAAAATAGCATTTTTTGGTAGACTGTCATGATTAAATCAGTGGCTTGGTCATTCTCTGAAAATGTCTGAATTCCTGTTCTTCTGCCACCAGCGGGTAATAAATACTAATACATAATAAAAAATGAATAAAGGTAGTAAAAAACTTTTGCTTTCAACCTTGCGACAACAAAACATGCAAGATTTCATTAATATTTGATGATGTATAACACAATATGTTAAAAGAATGAGCGCAAGACCATGTTTCCAATTTTGAGCAGAAACTTCAATTCCTGTTTTTACAGAAAAAAGTAAATTTTGGGGAATTGGAATGTAGTAGGTTGTACAAGGTAACAAAGTATATATAAGACAAGTATTTGCTATGCTATAATCATATTTTGAAAAATATAAGAAAATAATAGTTTTTCACTGTTACTGGGAAATTGTCACTCCTGTTACCAAGATCAAAATTAAGGCAATGACCATTCTCCTTGTATCCCACAATTTAATCTCTGGACTGGAATCCCATTTCTCTTTCCTGCCCAATAGATGGTAAATACTTACTCCGATTTCTTTGGTATACACAGGAGCTCCATTTGAAGCCACTGCTGACTGTCTGATTGGCTACCTCCTTCTCTACAGATACACCAATGATCTTGTTGTCAAGGTTACCATCAGGTACCTTCAATTCATACCCGAACACCCCAGGGGGAAATGGGAACCAATGAATACTATCCTAGAAAGGACAAACATAAAAGAAAAGCATCTCTTGAATGACTTGAATGATTAATCATCTGTTGTATATAATGGTTGTCCATATTGTAATGTGAAGCTATGCTACAAGCAAGGTTTCATGTTGCTATATGCCCATTTAATGGTTGTCCATATTGTAATGTGAAGCTATGCTACAAGCAAGGTTCAGTGTTGCTATATGCCCATTAAATGGTTGTCCATATTGTAATGTGAAGCTATGCTACAAACAAGGTTTCATGTTGCTATATGCCCATTTAATGGTTGTCCATATTGTAATGTGAAGCTATGCTACAAGCAAGGTTCCATGTTGCTATATGCCCATTTAATGGTTGTCCATATTGTAATGTGAAGCTATGCTACAAGCAAGGTTCAGTGTCGCTATATGCCCATTTAATGGTTGTCCATATTGTAATGGGAAGCTGTGCTACAAGCAAGGTTCCATGTTGCTATATGCCCATTTAATGGTTGTCCATATTGTAATGTGAAGCTATGCTACAAGCAAGGTTCAGTGTCGCTATATGCCCATTTAATGGTTGTCCATATTGTAATGTGAAGCTATGCTACAAGCAAGGTTCCATGTTGCTATATGCCCATTTAATGGTTGTCCATATTGTAATGTGAAGCTATGTGTCTACAAGTAAGGTTCAGTGTTGCTATATGCCCATTTAATGGTTGTCCATATTGTAATGGGAAGCTATGCTACAAGCAAGGTTCAGTGTCGCTTTATGCCCATTAAATGGTTGTCCATATTGTAATTCGAAGCTATGCTACAAGCAAGGTTCCATGTTGCTATATGCCCATTTAATTGTTGTCCATAATGTAATGTGAATCTATGCTACAAGCAAGGTTCAGTTTTGCTATATGCCCATTTAATGGTTGTCCATATTGTAATGTGAAGCTATGCTACAAGCAAGGTTCCATGTTGCTATATGCCCATTTAATTGTTGTCCATAATGTAATGTGAATCTATGCTACAAGCAAGGTTCAGTGTCGCTATATGCCCATTAAATGGTTGTCCATATTGTAATGTGAAGCTATGCTACAAGCAAGGTTCAGTGTTGCTATATGCCCATTAAATGGTTGTCCATATTGTAATGTGAAGCTATGCTACAAGCAAGGTTCCATGTTGCTATATGCCCATTAAATGGTTGTCCATATTGTAATGTGAAGCTATGCTACAAACAAGGTTTCATGTTGCTATATGCCCATTTAATGGTTGTCCATATTGTAATGGGAAGCTATGCTACAAGCAAGGTTCCATGTTGCTATATGCCCATTTAATGGTTGTCCATATTGTAATGTGAAGCTATGCTACAAGCAAGGTTCAGTGTCGCTATATGCCCATTTAATGGTTGTCCATATTGTAATGGGAAGCTATGCTACAAGCAAGGTTTCATGTTGCTATATGCCCATTTAATGGTTGTCCATATTGTAATGGGAAGCTATGCTACAAGCAAGGTTCAGTGTTGCTATATGCCCATTTAATGGTTTTCCATATTGTAATGGGAAGCTATGCTACAAGCAAGGTTCAGTGTTGCTATATGCCCATTTAATGGTTGTCCATATTGTAATGGGAAGCTATGCTACAAGTAAGGTTCAGTGTTGCTATATGCCCATTTAATGGTTGTCCATATTGTAATGTGAAGCTATGCTACAAGCAAGGTTCCATGTTGCTATATGCCCATTTAATGGTTGTCCATATTGTAATGTGAAGCTATGCTACAAGCAAGGTTCAGTGTCGCTATATGCCCATTTAATGGTTGTCCATATTGTAATGGGAAGCTGTGCTACAAGCAAGGTTCCATGTTGCTATATGCCCATTTAATGGTTGTCCATATTGTAATGTGAAGCTATGCTACAAGCAAGGTTCAGTGTCGCTATATGCCCATTTAATGGTTGTCCATATTGTAATGTGAAGCTATGCTACAAGCAAGGTTCCATGTTGCTATATGCCCATTTAATGGTTGTCCATATTGTAATGTGAAGCTATGTGTCTACAAGTAAGGTTCAGTGTTGCTATATGCCCATTTAATGGTTGTCCATATTGTAATGGGAAGCTATGCTACAAGCAAGGTTCAGTGTCGCTTTATGCCCATTAAATGGTTGTCCATATTGTAATTCGAAGCTATGCTACAAGCAAGGTTCCATGTTGCTATATGCCCATTTAATTGTTGTCCATAATGTAATGTGAATCTATGCTACAAGCAAGGTTCAGTTTTGCTATATGCCCATTTAATGGTTGTCCATATTGTAATGTGAAGCTATGCTACAAGCAAGGTTCCATGTTGCTATATGCCCATTTAATTGTTGTCCATAATGTAATGTGAATCTATGCTACAAGCAAGGTTCAGTGTCGCTATATGCCCATTAAATGGTTGTCCATATTGTAATGTGAAGCTATGCTACAAGCAAGGTTCAGTGTTGCTATATGCCCATTAAATGGTTGTCCATATTGTAATGTGAAGCTATGCTACAAGCAAGGTTCCATGTTGCTATATGCCCATTAAATGGTTGTCCATATTGTAATGTGAAGCTATGCTACAAACAAGGTTTCATGTTGCTATATGCCCATTTAATGGTTGTCCATATTGTAATGGGAAGCTATGCTACAAGCAAGGTTCCATGTTGCTATATGCCCATTTAATGGTTGTCCATATTGTAATGTGAAGCTATGCTACAAGCAAGGTTCAGTGTCGCTATATGCCCATTTAATGGTTGTCCATATTGTAATGGGAAGCTATGCTACAAGCAAGGTTTCATGTTGCTATATGCCCATTTAATGGTTGTCCATATTGTAATGGGAAGCTATGCTACAAGCAAGGTTCAGTGTTGCTATATGCCCATTTAATGGTTTTCCATATTGTAATGGGAAGCTATGCTACAAGCAAGGTTCAGTGTTGCTATATGCCCATTTAATGGTTGTCCATATTGTAATGGGAAGCTATGCTACAAGTAAGGTTCAGTGTTGCTATATGCCCATTTAATGGTTGTCCATATTGTAATGTGAAGCTATGCTACAAGCAAGGTTCCATGTTGCTATATGCCCATTTAATGGTTGTCCATATTGTAATGGGAAGCTATGCTACAAGCAAGGTTCAGTGTTGCTATATGCCCATTTAATGGTTTTCCATATTGTAATGTGAAGCTATGCTACAAGCAAGGTTTCATGTTGCTATATGCCCATTTAATGGTTGTCCATATTGTAATGGGAAGCTATGCTACAAGCAAGGTTTCATGTTGCTATAAGCCCATTAAATGGTTGTCCATATTGTAATGGGAAGCTATGCTACAAGTAAGGTTCAGTGTTGCTGTATGCCCATTTAATGGTTGTCCATATTGTAATGGGAAGCTATGTGTCTACAAGTATGGTTCAGTGTACTATATGCCCATTTAATGGTTGTCCACATTGTAATGGGAAGCTATGCTACAAGCAAGGTTCAGTTTTGCTATATGCCCATTTAATGGTTGTCCATATTGTAATGTGAAGCTATGCTACAAGCAAGGTTCAGTGTTGCTATATGCCCCTTTAATGGTTGTCCACATTGTAATGGGAAGCTATGCTACAAGCAAGGTTCAGTTTTGCTATATGCCCATTTAATGGTTGTCCATATTGTAATGTGAAGCTATGCTACAAGCAAGGTTTCATGTTGCTATATGCCCATTTAATGGTTGTCCATATTGTAATGTGAAGCTATGCTACAAGCAAGGTTCCATGTTGCTATATGCCCATTTAATGGTTGTCCATATTGTAATGTGAAGCTATGCTACAAGCAAGGTTCAGTGTCGCTATATGCCCATTTAATGGTTGTCCATATTGTAATGGGAAGCTATGCTACAAGCAAGGTTCAGTGTCGCTATATGCCCATTTAATGGTTGTCCATATTGTAATGGGAAGCTGTGCTACAAGCAAGGTTCCATGTTGCTATATGCCCATTTAATGGTTGTCCATATTGTAATGTGAAGCTATGCTACAAGCAAGGTTCAGTGTCGCTATATGCCCATTTAATGGTTGTCCATATTGTAATGTGAAGCTATGCTACAAGCAAGGTTCCATGTTGCTATATGCCCATTTAATGGTTGTCCATATTGTAATGTGAAGCTATGTGTCTACAAGTAAGGTTCAGTGTTGCTATATGCCCATTTAATGGTTGTCCATATTGTAATGGGAAGCTATGCTACAAGCAAGGTTCAGTGTCGCTTTATGCCCATTAAATGGTTGTCCATATTGTAATGTGAAGCTATGCTACAAGCAAGGTTCCATGTTGCTATATGCCCATTTAATTGTTGTCCATAATGTAATGTGAATCTATGCTACAAGCAAGGTTCAGTTTTGCTATATGCCCATTTAATGGTTGTCCATATTGTAATGTGAAGCTATGCTACAAGCAAGGTTCCATGTTGCTATATGCCCATTTAATTGTTGTCCATAATGTAATGTGAATCTATGCTACAAGCAAGGTTCAGTGTCGCTATATGCCCATTAAATGGTTGTCCATATTGTAATGTGAAGCTATGCTACAAGCAAGGTTCAGTGTTGCTATATGCCCATTAAATGGTTGTCCATATTGTAATGTGAAGCTATGCTACAAGCAAGGTTCCATGTTGCTATATGCCCATTAAATGGTTGTCCATATTGTAATGTGAAGCTATGCTACAAACAAGGTTTCATGTTGCTATATGCCCATTTAATGGTTGTCCATATTGTAATGGGAAGCTATGCTACAAGCAAGGTTCCATGTTGCTATATGCCCATTTAATGGTTGTCCATATTGTAATGTGAAGCTATGCTACAAGCAAGGTTCAGTGTCGCTATATGCCCATTTAATGGTTGTCCATATTGTAATGGGAAGCTATGCTACAAGCAAGGTTTCATGTTGCTATATGCCCATTTAATGGTTGTCCATATTGTAATGGGAAGCTATGCTACAAGCAAGGTTCAGTGTTGCTATATGCCCATTTAATGGTTTTCCATATTGTAATGGGAAGCTATGCTACAAGCAAGGTTCAGTGTTGCTATATGCCCATTTAATGGTTGTCCATATTGTAATGGGAAGCTATGCTACAAGTAAGGTTCAGTGTTGCTATATGCCCATTTAATGGTTGTCCATATTGTAATGTGAAGCTATGCTACAAGCAAGGTTCCATGTTGCTATATGCCCATTTAATGGTTGTCATATTGTAATGGGAAGCTATGCTACAAGCAAGGTTCAGTGTTGCTATATGCCCATTTAATGGTTTTCCATATTGTAATGTGAAGCTATGCTACAAGCAAGGTTTCATGTTGCTATATGCCCATTTAATGGTTGTCCATATTGTAATGGGAAGCTATGCTACAAGCAAGGTTTCATGTTGCTATAAGCCCATTAAATGGTTGTCCATATTGTAATGGGAAGCTATGCTACAAGTAAGGTTCAGTGTTGCTGTATGCCCATTTAATGGTTGTCCATATTGTAATGGGAAGCTATGTGTCTACAAGTATGGTTCAGTGTACTATATGCCCCTTTAATGGTTGTCCACATTGTAATGGGAAGCTATGCTACAAGCAAGGTTCAGTTTTGCTATATGCCCATTTAATGGTTGTCCATATTGTAATGTGAAGCTATGCTACAAGCAAGGTTTCATGTTGCTATATGCCCATTTAATGGTTGTCCATATTGTAATGTGAAGCTATGCTACAAGCAAGGTTCCATGTTGCTATATGCCCATTTAATGGTTGTCCATATTGTAATGTGAAGCTATGCTACAAGCAAGGTTCAGTGTCGCTATATGCCCATTTAATGGTTGTCCATATTGTAATGGGAAGCTATGCTACAAGCAAGGTTCCATGTTGCTATATGCCCATTTAATGGTTGTCCATATTGTAATGTGAAGCTATGCTACAAGCAAGGTTCAGTGTCGCTATATGCCCATTTAATGGTTGTCCATATTGTAATGGGAAGCTATGCTACAAGCAAGGTTCCATGTTGCTATATGCCGTTTTAATGGTTTTCCATATTGTAATGTGAAGCTATGCTACAAGTAAGGTTCAGTGTTGCTATATGCCCATTTAATGGTTGTCCATATTGTAATGGTAAGCTATGCTACAAGTAAGGTTCAGTGTTGCTATATGCCCATTTAATGGTTGTCCATATTGTAATGTGAAGCTATGCTACAAGCAAGGTTCAGTGTTGCTATATGCCCATTTAATGGTTGTCATATTGTAATGGGAAGCTATGCTACAAGCAAGGTTCAGTGTTGCTATATGCCCATTTAATGGTTGTCCATATTGTAATGTGAAGCTATGCTACAAGTAAGGTTCAGTGTTGCTATATGCCCATTTAATGGTTGTCCATATTGTAATGTGAAGCTATGCTACAAGCAAGGTTCAGTGTTGCTATATGCCCATTTAATGGTTGTCCATATTGTAATGGGAAGCTATGCTACAAGCAAGGTTCAGTGTTGCTATATGCCCATTTAATGGTTGTCCATATTGTAATGTGAAGCTATGCTACAAGCAAGGGTCAGTGTTGCTATATGCCCATTTAATGGTTGTCCATATTGTAATGTGAAGCTATGCGTCTACAAGTAAGGTTCAGTGTTGCTATATGCCCATTTAATGGTTGTCCATATTGTAATGTGAAGCTATGCTACAAGCAAGGTTTCATGTTGCTATATGCCCATTTAATGGTTGTCCATATTGTAATGTGAAGCTATGCTACAAGCAAGGTTCAGTGTCGCTATAAGCCCATTTAATGGTTATCCATATTGTAATGTGAAGCTATGCTACAAGCAAGGTTCAGTATCGCTATAAGCCCATTAAATGGTTGTCCATATTGTAATGTGAAGCTATGCTACAAGCAAGGTTCAGTGTCGTTATAAGCCCATTTAATGGTTGTCCATATTATAATGTGAAGCTATGCTACAAGCAAGGTTCAGTGTTGCTATATGCCCTTGTATAGCAATAGGGCAACTCTTTACTGAGAAACACTTTTCTAAATGATTTGGTTCACCAAGGTTTTCCCCCAAATCACTGAACTGTCGTTACACCACAATTCTCTGTGCAGAGTTGCGTCCCTTGGTCACACCAGAAACCTATGATCATGGGTTTGAATCCTGGTTTCACCCCAATTATGTTTCTAGGTTTGTCAGCATCATACCCGTGCTAGTGGGTTTCACTAAAGTGGTAATTGCCTGAGACCTGCATCACTTCGGGATTTCCTCAGACGTGAAGCTGACATGCCGTGATATAACTGGAACACTGTTTAAAACAGAGCTATAAACCCAACTTACTGACTCACTCACTCAGTTATAAGCACCCAAGGTGCTTAGCAGGGGTCCGGAAAATTTAAAATCCCAGTCGGACATTTGCAATTTTGCCACGCCCCCTTCAAATAGCGTATTTTAGTATTTTTAGCACTGCTTAGAAAATTGACAGAGGGGCACCTATTAGAACTATAAACAATGACCTAAATTTCATTTCAAACTAAGTTCAAATGTCAATGAAACTTTGTGCATATACTTGGCAAGATGATTGATAAATTTAGTTGTATTTCCTATTTTTGTTGTTGCTTTTTTTGTGTGTCTGTTGTTTTACGCCACACTCAGCAAAATTCTTCCTGACGGTCTGTAAATAATTGAGTCAGGACCAGACAATCCAGTGATTGATGTCATGATCATCGATCAACTCAATTTGGATATGATGACATGCATCAACCAAGTCAGCGAGCCTGACCACCCGATCCTGTTAGTCGCCTCTTACAACAAACATAGTCGCCATACATGTGTGTGGTGTTCGACCAATTGTTAAACAGGTGCCCCATGCAGGGTTGCACGTGACACAGCAATCTTCTGTTTTCGATGTGAAATAGTGCCATTAGCAGTGGCTAGGCTTTCATACGTAAATTGCGAACCGATGAAATGCATCAACCAAATCAGCGAGCCCGACCACCCGATCCTGTTAGTCATCTCTTATGACAAGTATAATCCCCTTATTATGGCAAGCTACTGCTCAACAAAGACTTGAGGACATCCCATTACGGGTCATGTCAGCACGACCTTTCATCCAACCAGTCAGAGCATTGCTTACCAGATGAGGAAAGTATATTACACATTCAAGAATGTTTGTTTGTTCAGTTTTTAAATTTTTTACATATTTTTGTCAACATATTTTTAAAGCGTAGTCTGAAATGGTTGAAACTAGTGCTGTAAAGCTCGAGAAAGCTACTTTCTAACTGGCCAATGTCAATTGTTGCTAGTCACATCATTGGTTGGTCAAAGTTCATGGAAGGTCGTTCTTACATGACCCATATTGGGATGTCCTCAGATCTTTGTTTAGCAGTTGTGAGAACTATGGGATCAATTTTAATTAGATTGGATTAACTGTTATTGGCCACTGAAATAAAAATACCTCACAGTGAATATACATGAGAAGTATAGGAATAACTTTATGCAAGCTAACCTCTGACAACAATCATAATGCTATTCTTACCAGACATTTCGAGGTGATCTTGGACCCATTGCAGTAGTACAGGGTGTAGCCTGTGACCCTCCCCTGGTGGGGGTCCTGTGACCCTGGTGGGACCCCCCAGGTGATGTACAGGGTGGAGCTGTCTGCCTCCACCATGATGTCCGAGGGGTGGGACACTTCTACAATGGAAAATAGTTTGTTTGTGACACGTTTTCCAATATATTGCGACCCTTAGGTTTTTGTGACACATATTGCAATATATTTTGATCCTTAGGTTTTTGAGACACGTTTTGCAAAATATTGTGATCCTTAGGTTTTTGAGACACGTATTGCAATATATTGTGATCCTTAGATTTTTGTGACATGTATTGCAATATATTGTGATCCTTAGATTTTTGTGACATGTATTGCAATATATTGTGATCCTTAGGTTTTTGAGACACGTATTGCAATATATAGTGAGATCCTTATGTTTTTTTGACACGTATTGCACTATATTGCACCTTAGGTTTGTTCTGGGGCATTGACCTATCTTTAAAGGTTTCAACATTTGTTTGAAGTTGGGAACCTTCCTAGTGTTCTAGACAGGTCAAGTGTTGCCCTGTCACTGTTCTCAGGTTGAGCAGGGTGTTCTAGACAGGTCAAGTGTTGCCTTGTCACTGTTCTCAGGTTGAGCAGGGTGTTCTAGACAGGTCAAGTGTTGCCCTGTCACTGTTCTCACGTTGAGCAGGGTGTTCTAGACAGGTCAAGTGTTGCCTTGTCACTGTTCTCAGGTTGAGCAGGGTGTTCTAGACAGGTCAAGTGTTGCCCTGTCACTGTTGTCAGGTTGAGCAGGGTGTTCTAGACAGGTCAAGTGTTGCCCTGTCACTGTTGTCAGGTTGAGCAGGGTGTTCTAGACAGGTCGAGTGTTGCCCTGTCAATGTTCTCAGGTTGAGCAGGGTGTTCTAGACAGGTCAAGTGTTGCCCTGTCACTGTTGTCGGGTTGAGCAGGGTGTTCTAGACAGGTCAAGTGTTGCCTTGTCACTGTTGTCAGGTTGTGCAGGGTGTTCTAGGCATGTCAAGTGTTGCCCTGTCACTGTTGTCAGGTTGAGCAGGGTGTTTTAGACAGGTCAAGTGTTGCCTTGTCACTGTTGTCAGGTTGAGCAGGGTGTTCTAGACAGGTCAAGTGTTGCCCTGTCACTGTTGTCGGGTTGAGCAGGGTGTTCTAGACAGGTCAAGTGTTGCCTTGTCACTGTTGTCAGGTTGTGCAGGGTGTTCTAGGCATGTCAAGTGTTGCCCTGTCACTGTTGTCAGGTTGAGCAGGGTGTTTTAGACAGGTCAAGTGTTGCCTTGTCACTGTTGTCAGGTTGAGCAGGGTGTTCTAGACAGGTCAAGTGTTGCCCTGTCACTGTTGTCAGGTTGAGCAGGGTGTTCTAGACAGGTCAAGTGTTGCCCTGTCACTGTTCTCACGTTGAGCAGGGTGTTCTAGACAGGTCAAGTGTTGCCTTGTCAATGTTCTCAGGTTGAGCAGGGTGTTCTAGACAGGTCAAGTGTTGCCCTGTCACTGTTGTCGGGTTGAGCAGGGTGTTCTAGACAGGTCAAGTGTTGCCTTGTCACTGTTGTCAGGTTGAGCAGGGTGTTCTAGACAGGTCAAGTGTTGCCCTGTCACTGTTGTCAGGTTGAGCAGGGTGTTCTAGACAGGTCAAGTGTTGCCCTGTCACTGTTCTCAGGTTGAGCAGGGTGTTCTAGACAGGTCAAGTGTTGCCTTGTCAATGTTCTCAGGTTGAGCAGGGTGTCTTAGACAGGTCAAGTGTTGCCCTGTCACTGTTGTCGGGTTGAGCAGGGTGTTCTAGACAGGTCAAGTGTTGCCTTGTCACTGTTGTCAGGTTGTGCAGGGTGTTCTAGGCATGTCAAGTGTTGCCCTGTCACTGTTGTCAGGTTGAGCAGGGTGTTTTAGACAGGTCAAGTGTTGCCTTGTCACTGTTGTCAGGTTGAGCAGGGTGTTCTAGACAGGTCAAGTGTTGCCCTGTCACTGTTGTCGGGTTGAGCAGGGTGTTCTAGACAGGTCAAGTGTTGCCTTGTCACTGGTCTCAGGTTGAGCAGGGTGTTCTAGACAGGTCAAGTGTTGCCCTGTCACTGTTGTCACGTTGAGCAGGGTGTTCTAGACAGGTCAAGTGTTGCCTTGTCACTGTTGTCAGGTTGAGCAGGGTGTTCTAGACAGGTCAAGTGTTGCCCTGTCACTGTTCTCACGTTGAGCAGGGTGTTCTAGACAGGTCAAGTGTTGCCCTGTCACTGTTCTCAGGTTGAGCAGGGTGTTCTAGACAGGTCAAGTGTTGCCTTGTCACTGTTCTCAGGTTGAGCAGGGTGTTCTAGACAGGTCAAGTGTTGCCCTGTCACTGTTGTCAGGTTGAGCAGGGTGTTCTAGACAGGTCAAGTGTTGCCTTGTCACTGTTCTCAGGTTGAGCAGGGTGTTCTAGACAGGTCAAGTGTTGCCCTGTCACTGTTGTCAGGTTGAGCAGGGTGTTCTAGACAGGTCAAGTGTTGCCTTGTCACTGTTCTCAGGTTGAGCAGGGTGTTCTAGACAGGTCAAGTGTTGCCCTGTCACTGGTCTCAGGTTGAGCAGGGTGTTCTAGACAGGTCAAGTGTTGCCTTGTCACTGGTCTCAGGTTGAGCAGGGTGTTCTAGACAGGTCAAGTGTTGCCCTGTCACTGTTGTCAGGTTGAGCAGGGTGTTCTAGACAGGTCAAGTGTTGCCCTGTCACTGTTCTCAGGTTGAGCAGGGTGTTCTAGACAGGTCAAGTGTTGCCTTGTCACTGTTCTCAGGTTGAGCAGGGTGTTCTAGGCATGTCAAGTGTTGCCCTGTCACTGTTGTCAGGTTGAGCAGGGTGTTTTAGACAGGTCAAGTGTTGCCTTGTCACTGTTGTCAGGTTGAGCAGGATGTTCTAGACAGGTCAAGTGTTGCCCTGTCACTGTTGTCGGGTTGAGCAGGGTGTTCTAGACAGGTCAAGTGTTGCCTTGTCACTGTTGTCAGGTTGTGCAGGGTGTTCTAGGCATGTCAAGTGTTGCCCGGTCACTGTTGTCAGGTTGAGCAGGGTGTTTTAGACAGGTCAAGTGTTGCCCTGTCACTGTTGTCAGGTTGAGCAGGGTGTTCTAGACAGGTCAAGTGTTGCCCTGTCACTGTTGTCGGGTTGAGCAGGGTGTTCTAGACAGGTCAAGTGTTGCCCTGTCACTGTTCTCACGTTGAGCAGGGTGTTCTAGACAGGTCGAGTGTTGCCCTGTCAATGTTCTCAGGTTGAGCAGGGTGTTCTAGACAGGTCAAGTGTTGCCCTGTCAATGTTCTCAGGTTGAGCAGGGTGTTCTAGACAGGTCAAGTGTTGCCTTGTCACTGTTCTCAGGTTGAGCAGGGTGTTCTAGACAGGTCAAGTGTTGCCTTGTCACTGTTGTCAGGTTGAGCAGGGTGTTCTAGACAGGTCAAGTGTTGCCATGTCACTGTTCTCAGGTTGAGCAGGGTGTTCTAGACAGGTCAAGTGTTGCGTTGTCACTGTTGTCAGGTTGAGCAGGGTGTTCTAGACAGGTCAAGTGTTGCCTTGTCACTGTTCTCAGGTTGAGCAGGGTGTTCTAGACAGGTCAAGTGTTGCCTTGTCACTGTTCTCAGGTTGAGCAGGGTGTTCTAGACAGGTCAAGTGTTGCCTTGTCACTGTTGTCAGGTTGAGCAGGGTGTTCTAGACAGGTCAAGTGTTGCCCTGTCACTGTTCTCAGGTTGAGCAGGGTGTTCTAGACAGGTCAAGTGTTGCCCTGTCACTGTTCTCACGTTGAGCAGGGTGTTCTAGACAGGTCAAGTGTTGCCTTGTCACTGTTCTCAGGTTGAGCAGGGTGTTCTAGACAGGTCAAGTGTTGCCCTGTCACTGGTCTCAGGTTGAGCAGGGTGTTCTAGACAGGTCAAGTGTTGCCTTGTCACTGGTCTCAGGTTGAGCAGGGTGTTCTAGACAGGTCAAGTGTTGCCCTGTCACTGTTGTCAGGTTGAGCAGGGTGTTCTAGACAGGTCAAGTGTTGCCTTGTCACTGTTGTCAGGTTGAGCAGGGTGTTCTAGACAGGTCAAGTATTGCCTTGTCACTGTTCTCAGGTTGAGCAGGGTGTTCTAGACAGGTCAAGTGTTGCCCTGTCACTGTTCTCAGGTTGAGCAGGGTGTTCTAGACAGGTCAAGTGTTGCCTTGTCACTGTTCTCAGGTTGAGCAGGGTGTTCTAGACAGGTCAAGTGTTGCCCTGTCACTGTTCTCACGTTGAGCAGGGTGTTCTAGACAGGTCAAGTGTTGCCTTGTCACTGTTCTCAGGTTGAGCAGGGTGTTCTAGACAGGTCAAGTGTTGCCCTGTCACTGTTCTCAGGTTGAGCAGGGTGTTCTAGACAGGTCAAGTGTTGCCTTGTCACTGTTCTCAGGTTGAGCAGGGTGTTCTAGACAGGTCAAGTGTTGCCCTGTCACTGGTCTCAGGTTGAGCAGGGTGTTCTAGACAGGTCAAGTGTTGCCTTGTCACTGGTCTCAGGTTGAGCAGGGTGTTCTAGACAGGTCAAGTGTTGCCCTGTCACTGTTGTCAGGTTGAGCAGGGTGTTCTAGACAGGTCAAGTGTTGCCTTGTCACTGTTGTCAGGTTGAGCAGGGTGTTCTAGACAGGTCAAGTGTTGCCTTGTCACTGTTCTCAGGTTGAGCAGGGTGTTCTAGACAGGTCAAGTGTTGCCCCGTCACTGTTCTCAGGTTGAGCAGGGTGTTCTAGACAGGTCAAGTGTTGCCTTGTCACTGTTCTCAGGTTGAGCAGGGTGTTCTAGACAGGTCAAGTGTTGCCCTGTCACTGTTGTCAGGTTGAGCAGGGTATTCTAGACAGGTCAAGTGTTGCCCTGTCACTGTTCTCAGGTTGAGCAGGGTGTTCTAGACAGGTCAAGTGTTGCGTTGTCACTGTTGTCAGGTTGAGCAGGGTGTTCTAGACAGGTCAAGTGTTGCCTTGTCACTGTTCTCAGGTTGAGCAGGGTGTTCTAGACAGGTCAAGTGTTGCCACAGTTGACAGTGGTTGATTTTCTTCAACCTAACATCCAAATCCCCACCTTGTTGCCCTAAGGCTACTCAGTGGGTAAGGACATGACATCAGTAGAATTCTTGGAAACACCACCAGCCTGGGAACCCTATGATCCTGCCTTGAAACTCCGCAACCCAAATATTTCTGTGAGTGAGCATGGTTTTATGACGCTCTTAGCAATATTCCAGCAATATCATGGCGGGGGATACCAGATATGAGCTTCACACATTGTACCCATGTTGGGAATAAAACCCGGGTCTTCAGTGTGACGAGCGAACGCTTCAACCATTAGGCTACCCGACCGCCCGAAATATTACTGTCCTCACTCAAAAATATGAGTTACCCAGGTAAATGCCAGCTTAGATTAGTTATTATTAAGCACATAGTCATATTGTGTTCATATCGGATCAATTTTGTTCAGCAGATCAGATGATATATGAACATAGATGTTGTTTACTCACTGTTATAAGCAGGAATCACAATAGGGTTTGACTCTCCTGACATGCCGACCTGTGTTCCTCCTCTCAAAGTAATGCTATACTCTCGGTCTTTCCCGACCAGCAGGTCATAGGACGTTGCCGATCCTGCTACATCCCTAGTTCCATTCTGTGTGTCTTTCTGCTGTATTTTGTACAGAGTTATCTTCCCATTGGACTCTTCCAGGGGTATTGGCTATAGAAAATAACAGAAACTGACTAGACAACATATTACAGTTATGGACTGCTGTTATTACAGTTTATAGAATGATGTTATTACAGTTATAGACTGCTGATGCAGACCTGTCAACCCCTCATCATGACAATGTGGGAGAATTGACTTCAAAATGGGGGAGATTTGCCTCCAAAGGGGGAGATTTTTAAGAAAGTGAAGATAAGATAATTTCCAACTTTTATTTTTAATAATGTTACAAAGAAAACCAAATATTTTGAAACAATAAATAATCAATAGGTTTTTTATACGTACAGCTTGCTTAATTTCCGTTTGCATTTTCCTCCTCCAAAAACTCAGCACAATCTACCCATATAACTTTCGTTCAAAGATCATCTCAGATAAACGCAAACAGATTTTGAAATTTCACAATCGGTAGCTTGACCAGTTGACGACGTGTTCAATCCGACCAGTTGTCAGGCTTTGTTACGATGCAGGTTTTCTGAGTATTTGGCGCGATGTTGGTTACAAAATTCGCCAAAGAAATATCAAATGCATTTATCCTGACGCAACATCATCGCCCCTAATTTCAATAAGATATACTGGGTTTTTTCTGTCTGCGGTAGTCTGTTGACAGTCCCATTACTTTGCTTCTTAAATTTCCTAGAAATGTTCACGTTATTCCACTCCAAGAAATGTATGCCATATTTGGAAGTAATATTACGTTTTACTACAATTTATGAATGAAATGAGTCTCGTTGTCGTTGTTGACCTTTCTGACCTTGACGTGTATTAATCTCATTGGTTGACTAGTACTGTTGTATGCAAATTAGATTGCAGATCTGGGACGCAAGCAAACTATTAGCCAATCAAATCGTGTAAAATAATCACATGATACATTCTCGTGAAATTTGATAAAGTTCTATTTTGATATTTTCTGTGCACACAATTCACGATGTCAGTCAAAAGGGAATTTATAAGTTTCACTTTAAACTTTGACTTTGAAACCCTAGCTGTAAGGAAGCCTGATCGTGTAACTCATTGTTATTTCAACTACCGAATCAACCAATCATGCATAGTGTTGTTTCTGAAGACGGCGCTTGCAGGACATATTTTGTTTTCATTTCCAAGAGTTCAATGACGTAACTTTGAGGTATGTTGATGTTTTAACAAAGTTTCTGACAAATCTGATAACCAATAAAGTCATGTATAACTGGACCGGCCATATGTATCTACATTCTTAAATTATGGAAGAATAAACACGCTTAGAACATGAAGACAACAGTTCATTTCATGAAGTGATGAATACTTGGCTGATTTTTCATTTCAAGTTCAACCCTTCAGGCACCTGTTAGGACTATTAGAGTTTTCTTAACAGTTTACATTGTTCAATCGTTCACCATATGAATTTAATTACCAGTTGATTACTGGACAAAGGCCCATCTGGGTCCCCCTGTGGGTGGCTGTGATAAGGGTCGCTAATCCGGGAGCCTACCGGATAGATCGGGACGCAAACTTCCCATTCATTGTTTTTACTCAAGGGACAATGGAGGCAAATTTTTTCAATAATGAAGAATTCTGTTTTGCGGGAGAAATAGTCCATCATGCAGGAGACTGGGAGATTTCATCAAATTGCGGGAGTCTCCCGCTAAATGCGGGAGGGTTGACAGGACTGCTGATGTTACAGTTATAGACTGCTGTTATTGCAGTTATAGACAGCTGTTATTACAGTTATAGACTGCTGATGTTACAGTTATAGACAGCTGTTATTACAGATATAGACTGCTGTTATTACAGTTATAGACTGCTGTTATTACAGATATTGACTGTTGTTTTTACAGTTTATAGAATGCTGTTATTACAGTTATAGACTGCTGTTATTATAGATATAGACCTCTGTTATTACAGTTATAGACTGCTGTTATTACAGATATAGACCACTGTTATTACAGATATAGACAGCTGTTATTACAGTTATAGACTGATGTTATTACAGTTATAGACTGCTGTTATTACAGATATTGACTGCTGTTATTACAGTTTATAGAATGCTGTTATTACAGTTATAGACTGATGGTATTACAGTTATAGACTGATGTTATTTTAGATATAGACCGCTCTGCTACATACCTTCCAGTAGATGGTCACTGTACAGATTTGTGTCTGATTACAGTCACTGTAAACAAAGCTTCCGATCTGCGTTCCTGGAACACCACTTGGCACTGAAAGATGGAAATTACTCGTTATCATTCATACTAACATCATAGCACAGCAGCCTTCTGTCTGCACACTACTAGTGGTTACTGTCAGGAGCTTCAAACCAGGTTGTCGATCTGCATACGACTGAATACAAAATCAAAACCAAATCAACTGATCAAAAACAGACACAGACAAAACAAATGATTTGATTTTATATCTTGTTACATAACTGTTCTATTTTAAATGAATTGAAAACAAACATCAGTTACATTAACAAACAGGGTGCCCATGGTGCCATGTGATCCTGTGCACAGCACACAGGTTAAAAAATCAGGTGAGGGTAAGCAACGTCGGTCTTTGAGAGTCCTTGGATGTGTGACCACGTTTCGTCAGCTTAACTCCTGCGAGTTTCTAGGGCTTCGGTCCTGCCCCACACTGAAGCATATGTTGGTTGGTTGGTTGGTTGGTTGGTTGGTTTGTTGTTTAACGCCGCACTCAGCAATATTCCAGCTATATGACGGCGGTCTGTAAATAATCGAGTCTGGACCAGACAATCCAGTGATTGATATCATGAGCATTGATCTACACAATTAGGATCGATGACATGTATCAACCAAGTCAGCGAGCCTGACCACCCGATCCCATTAGTCGCCTTTTACGACAAGCATAGTCGACTTTTACGGCAAGCATGGGTTGCTGAAGACCTATTCTACCCCGGAATCTTCACAGGTCCTGAAGCATATGTAACACATGTGGCATCTCTTTGGGCTAGTGACTTTGTTGGAATGTGCATTTGTTCACTCAGCAGTGAATGGGTACCCGGTAGGATGAGGTGGCAATGTGGTTGCTAACCTTCTAGTGCCTAACAGGCAGCTTGGGTTGTATACTCCCCAGGGAGCTGAGAATGATTCTGGAGTGCACACTGATCCAGTGACCGGGGTTAAAATAGATCATGCCCCTGAGTGGTATGGAAAGATGTGCAATAGAAATGGCCTTTTATTGTTATTATTAAACTGTGACTGTCAGCAACCTTGACCTTCCATGGAGGTCTTTTCAAACAGTTTGAGATCAAACCCTAAGGTTGACATATCAAGTTTCAATGTACATGCAGTTTGAATTATTATTTGTTTGTATGTTGTTGACACGGTAATCTTCCAGGCGTATAATGGCAACCTGTTAATAATCACGTCTGGACCAGACAAACCAGTGATTGATAGTATGATATAACAACACTGACATACTACTGTCTTGATACATTTTTTCATCACATGTTATACACAATGTATCAAGTTGATTGATTATTTTTTGTTTGTTTCGTTTGCTTGTTGTTTAACGCGGCACTCAGCAATAATCCCGCTATAGTCTGTCTGGACCAGACATTCCAGTGGCAGACATTATGAGCATCAATATATGCAACTGGGATATGATGACATGCATCAACCATGTCAGTGACCCGATCCCCTTAGTTGCCTCATACGACAATCACAGTTGCTTTTTACAGCAAGCATGGGTTGAAGACCTATTCTACCCCGGATCTTCATGGGTCGATAGATTATTTAAGGAATAGTACATATATGAACTGACCATTTTAAAAAACAACATTTAATTACCATGTTATATTCATGTTAAGCTAAGAAGAAAGCCATACTTGATAATCTGAGAAAGAGGCTGAAATTCTTTCCTATCTTCATTTATTTTATTCTTATTCAGGCTGAAAAAAAGAATTTGTTCTCAGGCAATAGCTTTGGAAAATATTGTGCGGGTGGGCAGATGGGCTGCTTTTTTCTTTTTTGTGGGGGGGGTTGTGTTCAAACTAGTAAGAATCCAAATCCATATATCGCGGTGTATGCGGCGAGTTTTTCATAACTACAATTAGGAGGCTTTCAAAGGGGGGTGGGGTTGTCTTATACACGGGGTTGAAGAGTTTTTCCTTATGTTTTTTTCCCCAACACAAACACATTACTGTGAGCGCGTAACACCGGAAATACCATGTCAGCAAATCTGTGCAGAAGTACGCAAATACGTCATGTACTTACACTGTCTGGTTGTAAAAAGAGTTCATAATATTTCTGGATTTATATTTGTAATCTATTTTATTAATTTTAATCAACATTTCATTCAATATTGTTTCAATTCATTTGGGCGAAATCGTATGTGAAGTGATCGAAAGATCACACAACTCACTGTTTTTCACAGCAACCATGGTCATATTTCCACTATTGACGCCTTGGTGGATAGAATGGATATATATATCATAAGTGCCATACACTGAATCCCTGAAAGTCATATTTGTTGTAGTTTGACTATTAAATGTCAACATAAATTTTTCACAATCGCGGCTGCGGAAGCATCGATGGTGATTGGTCCAATTCTTCCATACGAAAATATATCTGGCAATAGCGATCAGCTGAACCAAAGTGCTAATTTATTTCACATGTATATAGTAAAGCTGCAACTAACCTGATATTGGAATAAATTATTCCTGATAAAATAATAGTTTCAGATACAATTCTTCCTCTCATTGTATCAAAATTCTTTAAAGTTATATTAATGGGTAATTTTTGACTGAATCACCGGTAGATTCTAGGAAACGTGTGTACAACTGATTGTTACTTCTGGCTTAGTTTACGAGACAAGACACACGGTAATCTCAAACTCTGCATATCAAACAATACCTATCAGAACAGGAAATACAATTTAATCTGTAAATCATCATGTCTGGTGATGTTTTATCTCAAATTTCAAATTTGTCTGGCCAAGTTTAATTCTTATAATCTGTTCGTTTTCCTGAATTTGTTGAAGGGATACGATGTATTTTTTTTCTGCGGAAGACAAACACGTTTTTATTGCAAATGTAGGGACTTTGTATGCACTGGTGATGTGCTTTATTCCGATTCGCTTTATAGACGGGGTATATAAATTAGCATTTCCTGCTTATTTTACGAGACAAATACACATGTAATTGTAAATCTTAACCTCTGCGTATGAAACATTGTCCCGCATACAGTACACAAATACCATTGAATTTGTAAATCATCATGTCTGGTGCTGTTTTATCGCAAATACAATGTTTTCATTGACCAAATTTGCAAACAGCAAAATAAGCACACAAACTCCTATTGCCGCCATGACCATAACCATGATAACACACGAGTGCACATGAAAAGGGAAGTAACTGCACGTTATATTGGATCGCATTGTTTTTTAGTATTGTAGCATTTCACTTTTGGGGTCGTGTATTAGGACGTGGAATATTTAAGCATTTTTAGGGGTTTTGAAAATGGAAATACAAACGAAACGTGCGGCAGACTTTGTGCGGCGGTGCCTGAGAACCAAGAATATTTCTTTTTTAGCCTTAAAAAAATAAGACTGTCACTGTATGTAAAAGGATTAGGATCAAAATGATAAATTGGTATAAAGTAAGGCACTGACCGTCTTCCAGTGTTTCTGCTTCTATGGAGGTCCAGTCACTGTAAAATCCTTCAGTTTCATTAGATTGATATTGTAATGGGATACACGACACTTGCAGCTTGTATGTCCTGGCAGGATGTAGGTCACACACAGTTACCTCCCTTTCACTGGTGTTGAACTGAAAATACACAGCATATTAGAGTTCAGCAATGTGGCATGTTTCTGACAAGTAGGCCTTATGGTCAATCATGATTTGCAGAAGAACATTATTGTACACATACCCTAATAATATCAGTCAAAATAGCAATACTACCCCTGTATCAAATAATATCCGTCAAAACAGCAATACTACATACATATCATAATATCAGTCAAACACAAGCAATATCCACCACTTTAGTCAAACAGATCAAACATATTTGCTTTCAATGTGCGGAATAAGAGTTATGTCCCTTCGATCTCCTGTGATTCTGTTTCCTGAACATCAGTACATTTTGCAATATAGTTCCTGGCAATATTCATCCCGAATACATATATATTTACTATTAAGTGATAATCAAGGTTAGCCATGGCCACCAAAACCAGTGATGTTGCATAAATCAAGCATTTTTCCAAACAAGCTATGGACAAGTCAAACACAGTGTCTACTCCTTGTAATGATCAACCAGATGGTGTCTACTCCTGGTAATGATCAAACACACAGTATCTACTCCTAGTAATGATCAACCAGATGGTGTCTTCTCCTGGAAATGATCAACCACACAGTATCTACTCCTGGTAATGATCAACTACATGGAGTCTACTCCTGGTAATGATCAACCACATGGTGTCTACTCCTGGTAATGATCAAACACACAGTATCTACTCCTAGTAATGATCAACCAAATGCTGTCTACTTTTGGTAATGATCAACCACATGGTGTCTACTCCTGGTAATGATCAAACACACAGTGTCTACTCCTGGTAATGATCAACCAAATGCTGTCTACTTTTGGTAATGATCAAACACACAGTGTCCACTCCTGGTAATGATCAACTACATGGTGTCTACTCCTGGTAATGATCAACCACATGGTGTCTACCCCTGGTAATGATCAACCAAATGCTGTCTACTCCTGGTAATGATCAAACACACAGTGTCTACTCCTGGTAATGATCAAACACACAGTGTCTACTCCTGGTAATGATCAAACAGACAGTGGCTACTCCTGGTAATGATCAAACACACAGTGTCTACTCCTGGTAATGATCAAACTCACAGTGTCTACTCCTGGTAATGATCAAACACACAGTGTCTACTCCTGGTAATGGTCAAACACACAGTGTCTACTCCTAGTAATGATCAAACACACAGTGTCTACTCCTGGTAATGATCAAACACATGGTGTCTTCCCCTGATACTGATTAAACCTAAGTTCTAGTAGCATGTGCAGTGTGTACATCATGACACTACTGGAGCTAATGCATATCCCTGTCAAATGTGGAGTAGTGTGTTACAGGTAAGTCAGCAGGTTTACCTTTAAGTCAGAACCCTGTTCCCGTAGGACGAGCACTGTGTACATCATGACCCTACTGGAGCTAATGCATATCCCTGTCAAATGTGGGGTAGTGTGTTACAGGTTTAGCAGGTTTACCTTTAAGACAGAACCCTGTTCCTGCAGGACGAGCACTGTGTACATCATGAACCTACTGGAGCTAATGGACATCCCTGTCAAATGTGGAGTAGTGTGTTACAGGTTTAGCAGGTTTACCTTTAAGACAGAACCCTGTTCCTGCAGGACGTGCAGTGTGTACATCATGACCCTACTGGAGCTAATGGATATCCCTGTCAAATGTGGAGTAGTGTGTTACAGGTGGGTCAGCAGGTTTACCTTTAAGACAGAACCCTCTTCCTGCAGGACGTGCACTGTGTACATCATGAACCTACTGAAACTAATGGATATCCCTGTCAAATGTGGAGTAGTTTATTACAGGTGGGTCAGCAGGTTTACCTTTAAGACAGAACCCTGTTCCTGCAGGACGTGCACTGTGTACTTCATGACCCTACTGGAGCTAATGGATATCCCTGTCAAATGTGGAGTAGTGTGTTACAGGTGGGTCAGCAGGTTTAACTTTAAGACAGAACCCTATTCCTGCAGGATGTGCACTGGGTACTTCATGAACCTACTGGAGCTAATGGACATACCTGTCAAATGTGGAGTGGTGTGTTACAGGTTTAGCAGGTTTACCTTTAAGACAGAACCCTGTTTCTGCAGGACGTGCATTGTGTACATCATGCGCCTCATGAACTGTTGCCCATGGTTCCACCGTAGAGACAAACACATGCTGGTCCTGTTTGCTACAGTCAATGAATACACAGGAGCTGGTTCCACTGTAAACACAGATGCAAAGCTGAGTTGCAGATTTTTATCATGGTAGATTATGATCGTAGAGAAGGGGCCTATATCTGATGATTTCTGTATTCAAGGAGGTTATATTTGATGATCTCTCTCTTAAGATGAACATGGTTACCAGGTGTCTATTTAAGACAAACATAGGTACCAGGTGTCTATTTAAGACAATCATGGATACCAGGTGTCTATTTAAGACAATCATGGATACCAAGTGTCTATTTAAGACAAACATGGGTACCAGGTGTCTATTTAAGACAAACATGGGTACAAGGTGTCCATTTAAGACAAACATGGGGTGTTACATGTATATATACTATATATGTCTATTTAGTCGTAGAATCCCATCAGGTCCAGAGCTCCTAAAATCATATGCAGTGCTCTAGACAAACAACATCGAGACATTTTCATAATTTTATCAACTTTTGATTAAACATTCTTCTGAATTATTGCCAAATTTGAAAAGTATCATCCAGATGTTTAAATGAAACTCTGACATACCGTGTCAGTAATTGTGGTCAATATAAATATGCAATATAGACTTTGTAGGGAGTGCTCATGAAGATCTCTAACAAGAATATTCTAGAAGTTGGTCTGGGGGCACGAATAGGGCAGGACACTTAATATAGCAATATGGTATATCTTACCTAGTGTTAAAGTGTCCACTATTGTGTAGTTGGATAGAGCTTCATCGATTATGTTTACAAATTTGTCATTGTCATATCTTGTAACATTGACTCTCATGAAGTATGTTTCAGGTTTGTAAGAATCCTCAGCATCGTTTTCCTTCCAGCTGCATGACGTCATCGTCTGGTGGGGGCAGACGCTTGGAGATTCAAGACTGAAAGTAGACGTTGCTTGATTTATTGATGCATCACATATGTATACCTGCGGATATACAATACCACTACCCATGTATTCATTGATGTATCACATATGTATACCTGCTGATATACGATACCACTACCCATGTATTCATTGATGCATCACATATGTATACCTGCTGATATACGATACCACTACCCATGTATTCATTGATGCATCACATATGTATACCTGCTGATATATGATACCACTACCCATGTATTTATTGATGCATCACATATGTATACCTGCTGATATTCGATACCACTACCCATGTATTCATTGATGTACCGGTATCACATATGTATACCTGCTGATATACAATACCACTACCCATGTATTCATTGATGTACCGGTATCACATATGTATACCTGCTGATATACGATACCACTACCCATGTATTCATTGATGCATCACATATGTATACCTGCTGATATACAATACCACTACCCATGTATTCATCCTTTTTTTAATTCTGTATCAAGTTTCAAAAAATAATATTTAAGTTTTTCAATGAACTGCCTTGGATTATCTTGTTGCCTATCATAAACAAAATGCTACATGTGTTTGCATTATTCTGTTAGCTTACCATTAAAACAAGTCTAAAAAACATGTCATGCAATTTGCTTTGTTTTGATAGAAACAAATTCACATGGAACGAGAAGATTTTTACATAAAGATAGTGCAAAAGAGTGCAAAATCTCAAGCTCACTGTTGTTATTTTTTAACTAAACTCTATTCAGCATGGTTGAACATGCATGAGAAGGTGAGGTGAAATGGGGTTTAACATCGCGTCCAAGATTATTGCACTTATATAGCAACGTGCATGTACATGTGTGTGTCTGTTTGTACTAGTTCAAACTGAGGCTGATTTATTGTGCTAGCCCACTGAGTTAACATGAATACTGACTCTGAGCCGACCAGTCCTTGTTTTAGCCCCTTAATGTCGAGCGCCAGGCAGGGTAACAACAAGTACCACCTTTTAATGCCTTTTAGTATGACGCGGCCGGGGATCAAACCTTGCACCTTCCGCTCTCCAGGCGGACGCTGTACCACAAGACCATATGCATGTAACCAAGATCTAGTTTGTAAACATGGTATGTGAACATTTCCTAATTAAATATGGTTATATAAGTACATAATAACTGGGACCTTATTGACAAGGAACCAATCCTAAGTGTTTTATATGGTCCTGTGAGGTGTTCAGAACTTCTGGAGAGATATTTTTAAAGGCATGCTGAAATAAGCCACATTGAAGGGGCATTCGAATTAAAAATAAAAAGAGGGTGAAGTTATACTTACATTGCCCACTGAAGCTCAACTATAACCCGATTTTCATTTATATAGTCCACTCCCAGGTCCCAAGTGCAGGTCATGTTCCTCCAGTCAAACACACGGCAGTCGATCTTCTCCACCTTCTTGGTCCGATCTGGTTCAAAACATGACAGACACTAAGGTAGCTGGAATATTGTTGAGTGTGGTGTTAAAGAACAAACAAACAAAAAAACAAAACCCGAAAACCCTATGATGCTGCTTTCCAGAAAATGACTTGCAGCGTTAACCAAGAATCAATGAGTGAGTGAGTATGGTTTTACGCCGCATTTAGCAATATTCCAGCAATATTACGGCTGGGGACACCAGAAATGGGTTTCACACAGCATGATGAACAAACACTTTAACCACAAGACTACCCCATCGCCCCAAGAATCATTAAGGAGCCTTCAATATCAACAGACTGTAGTGTAAACAAGCAAGAAGGTCTCCACGTGTATGAGAGTTCAGATTAAACTGTCACTAGTTTGTGAGAATCGTGATGCCTCCATGAAGCTGAAGAGTGAGTGAGTGAGTTGGGTTTAACGCCGCTTTTAACAGTTTTCCAGTTATATCACGGCGTGTCAGCTTAATGTGGGAGGAAAGCCCGAAGTGATGCAGGTCTCAGACATTTACCACTTCGGTGAAACGGGTATGGTGCTGACAAACCTAGAAACATAATCGGGGAGAACCGGGATTCGAAAGGTTTCAGGCGTGCCCAAGGGACGCAACTTTGCATGGTGAATCGCGGCGCCTTAGACGACTGGGCAACCCGTGCCCCCCATGAAGCTGAAGAAAGTCCTGTATATACTTGATCTTCTGAGGCAGTTTCCCAATCTCATGGACAGGGTCCAATCAGATGTGACAAGAGATACTCTCCCTAGTCCACTACAGCCTTGCAAAATAGTGTCACAGCACTGTAGCTCACCTGGATATGTGGTCAACAGTTTGAAATGCCAACAAAGACAAACACTTTAAAAATGCTGTAGGCATTGACATCCAAATATTTCTGCATAAATACTGGAGACTAAAACTAACACTAAAATCTAATGATTTGAACAAAATATGATGCACAAGAAGAAGAAACATACACGCCAAAGTTCAGCTCCCTCAGAATGGCAATTTCAGCATGTTCAGTGAAGAAGCAGTTTACAGTTTGTTTGTTGTTTAACGCCGCACTCAGCAATATTCCAGCTACATGTACATGTATATGATGGCAGTCTGTTAATAATTTAGTCTGGACTAGACAATCTGGTGATTGATATCATGTGCATCGATCCGCGCAATTCGGATAAGATGACATGCAGCAACCAAGTCAGCGAGTCTGACCACCCGATCCGTTAGTCGCCTCTTACGACAAGCATAGTCGCCTTTTACGGCAAGCATGGGTACCTGAAGACCTATTCTACCCCAGATCTTCATGGGTCTGAAGTAGTTTACAGAACCAAATGTGCCATTTGATAGAATTTAAGAGCAAGATGGCTACCTGGCAACCACATTGAAATTCCAGTTTTGATGCCTTGAACAAACTTGTACGCCCTTCTAGTAAAAAACATCCACAAAAACTTTCAGTTCAATCCATCAAGTCATTTCAAAGAAGGAAAACTTAAGGACTGCAAAGGATGACTCAAAGAACAACAAAGCTAGGTGAGCTAAAACTATATTGTAAGGTAAATTACTTACAATCCACGCTGACGTATTGACTACCTATGATGATACTGCTTCCATCCGTCTTGTTCAATTTACAGACGTAGCTCCCCTGATGAATGTCTGACATGATGGGGAAGTCGAGTTGGATGGCTCGGTCACCTAGAGGGGTGATGTATTGCATGGGAAGAACCTTCTCCACATCTTCAAAATCTTTAACGAAGAACAGTGATCCAGAAACGTTGCCAGGGATACTGTCTGAGGTCACGGTACAGTTCAAGGTCAAGGTCTCATTAATAAATCCATTTGGATTAATAGGACGCACTTCTGAGGATAAAAAGTAGAAACAACATTCTGAATACAGTTCTAGGAAAAACAACAACATTGCAATATTGATAACTGTCTTATTCAATCAAACAAATAGTGTTGTTTCTGCAGTTTGACAGCTGATGCAGAAATACATTTTTATTTTATTATGATATGGTAATTCTGTCCTTCAGAATTAAGAAAATACTGTAAATCTAGAAATTAATGCGTCTCCAAATTAAACGACTGCTGACCCCTAGCCAGAAAATGCAACTCCCCCACCCCATCCCCAGTGGAATGATACATATCCTTACCTAAATCCAATCAAACAGCAAATAGCACTGCTTATTAGCACTGAATAGAGCACTTTCGTAAAAACAACAAGAGTTTGCCACTAACGTGGCTATATCCCCCACCCCTGTTACACAATTTATGACATAATTAAATCTAAACAAACCCTAACCTTTTTTAACTGAGGTGGAACTTGTCATGGAAATTGTAAAAAAAAGAAAAGTTTGGAACCTAAGTCCATCTTGCTGCCATGGAAACGTAAAAAAAATAAAATTTCTAAAATTTCTAAATAGCAAAAGGCACCAGTTCAGCCTGTAAACGGAACGGAACGGTATATGAGTTATGCTCCAGAAACGAACTCTACTCTCACAGAACCTAAGTCCATCTTGTTGCCATGGAAACGTAAATTTTTTAATTTTTTAAAATTTCTATATAGGAAAGGGCACCAGTTCAGCATGTACTTGACAGACCTGTAAAGTTTGATGAAAAAATATTGAACGGTTTCTGAGTTATGCTCCGGAAACGAAATGTGACAGACGGACGGAAGGACGAACAGACAGACGGAGCCTGTTTCTATATCCCCCACCAACTTTGTTGGGTGGGGGATAATAAACAGTATTTTCCTAAAAACAACACACAGTTTATATGTTTACTCTGTTGACTGGCACTAAGGAAGTTTGAAGGCAATAAAATAACTGAACCAACAACAGATCACTGATAAGGAATGTGGAGAAGGTGTTAACAAGCTTGACACGAGAGGGGAGAACTCTTGATGCCAGCAGTGATAACTCACTGGATGCCCATTGTGTAATTCCTATTCTTTGAATGACATTATTATACAATTGTTACAACTGCTGCTCAATAAACCGTGTTTGTGTTTATATTCAAGTGGGTATTTCCGCTATCCAAAGTGTGCAGTGAGGCCGTCTTATTGTTGATAGTCATTTTGGAGACATAAATGGGAAGTTAATTAATGCGAGCAAAGACCGCTCGCATTTTTCGCATTTAATTCATGCTTGCGTTAATTTCAAGATTTACGGTATACACCATACAGAAGAATGAGATTTCTAAAAGTAACCTCAAGAGTACCTTAACAGAAGCAAACAAATAGTCACAGAAAACAACACTAAATGTCATTTGTACCCAGTTACGAAAAATTGTGGTCGTTCCTCATCTGGATACTGATATGTTGAAACCTGACATAATCTATGCCCTCGTGACTGGACTTTTGATATTGCATCGATTCCCAACACAGCGTGTGAAATACCTGCCTGCCTTAGCGTCCGCCTGTCTTTTCTTGGGACGTTAACGTTCACAAAATGCTCGCCAGATGGCTGGATTGATTATTAAAACCGTATATGTGAAATATATGAATAAAACTGTTTGCATAAAACTCATATTGGCATGATATCACTGACATGATGATCTACAAATACAGCCAAACAACTCAATTGCGACTGCATGAAATGTAAGTGTATAGCCAAAGCTTGCGTTAAGAAAATACATGAGGTTTGGTGTTTACTGTTAACACTATTTTTTGTTGTTGTTGTTAAACGCCGCACTCAGCAATCTTCAGGCTATATAACAGCGGTCTGCAAATAATTGACTCAGGACCAGACAATCCAGTGATTGACATCATGAGCAAAGATCCATGCAGTTGGGATATGATGACATGCATCAACCAAGTCAACAAGTCTCACCCCCCGATCCCGTTAGTCGCCTCTTTCGACAAGCACAGTCGCCTTTTACGGCAAGCATGGGTTCCTGAAGACCTATTCTACGTGGATCTTCACGGGTCCAAACTGGACAGAGCTGAATATATCTGTATGTATAATAAGCATAAGGAACTGCCCAATGGTCAAGGTATCATAAGGACCAGTAGACATTTGCCCTTTTAAGGGTTTTGCTATATGTTATCATTATAAGGACTAGCGGACTAAAAATGTTAGTTTCTACTGCTATACTACTTTGGTTGATGCATACCATCGTATCCCAATTATGTGGATCGATGCTCATGATATCAATCACTTGACATCTTCCCAAGGCAAGTGAGTTAACTGACTATGAAAGTCAAGTTTCCACCCTTGTCGAACTAGGCTGGTATTATGGAGTTACACGAAATCCGGTTCGTAAAATGTCGTGCAGATTTCTGTCGATTGCAGAATTTGCAAAGCATGAGCACCACCAACTCGTTGTCAACAGATATTTTCCAAGTTTTTTCATGTTTTTAATTAAAATCAAGGTGCTCCCGTGATTTGATGCACTTCGCTATGTAAGACCCGTTTTATCACAATATAGATCTTGATTATTTATCAGATAGTTTTGACTGGGCGCCGCCATTTTTTTTAAAACAAATGCAAGTGATACGAGAGGTGGAATCTGATTGGTCCATAAGAGAGGCTTAGAAGGGACATAACTCATAATAACCACTGGTGGAGCTGCGGTCGAGCCCAGGAATTCCAGCCTAGTTCGGCAAGGGTGGAAACTGGACTTTTAAAGTCAGTTAACTCCCTTGCCTTGGGAAGATGATTACTGGATTGTCTGGTCCAGACTCGATTATTGACAGACCACCGACATTTACCGGCAGCTGGAATATTGCTGAGTGCGGCGTTAAACAACAAACAAACAAACAAACAAACTACTGGTCATAAGTGGGGCTTTAATTTGCTCAAGGTGTAAAAAAAACTCACCTCCATTGTTGAAAAAGAATGCAAGGCTGTAGCTGAATGCCACCAGGAGGATGACGGCCCTGAGTGTCCCCCGACTTCCTGCGTCTCCTGTCATGATGTCGTCATTCTGTCACACGAACCTCTTCTACAGACGGAACAAATATCATGACATTGTGTATACTGATGTACAGTGAAAGTTATTTCTTTTAAAGGGAGACTCACACATGAAAAATATTGCAGATATACAGAATACTAAACAAGCTCCCGTGTAATACCAATTTTATGAAATGAGTGAATAGTTCTGGTATCTGACTCGCTTTCGCTATTCACGAGTTTCATAAAATTGGTTTTACACGAGAGCGAGTTTAGTATTTTATTTATTACTTGTCATTTATAATGTTTTTAGAATTATACTGTTGAGTGTAAATAGGCTGACACCTACATGATCCATGGCATAATCCAATTGAGTTTAACAGAATAATACTTCAAACACGTCAAAAGTTGAAACGTATGAATTTAATATCATACAATGGTCCACCTTTAGAATTCAGGCGTTCGTCCCACAAAATTATCGTAGTGCTAAGGCTATCACAACTCACATAATTTAACTTAGACTAACGACTGTCGTTGCGCTAGAGTACGATCGCCTAGTGGAACGGGGCCTTGCACCTCAAAGTTTACAATCACGTCACAATACCTGATGACGTAATTTGTTGAATTTTGTTGCAAGATCCATCGGCGAAACAATGCCATGTGACGTCAGCCTAGCAACAAGGTTGCTGGGGTCATCGAGTGTGCATAAGCTCCTCCCAGTGATCTATCATCTCCACACACAATGCCGTTGAATATGCCAAGGGATGTGGAGAGCTTTCAATACTTTTTCGTGAAACGTGTTCCGAGAGTACATAGGCACGCGTTTTGGTATTATGCAATGTGTAATAAAGCTGTATGTTTATTAAACGGGTGATCTCTTCACGGGCAAGTAATAAATATGAAAATATCAAATTTACTAAAAGACTAAGAGCTTAAATCTTGATACAACAATTACAGATAAAAATCAAGAACTTTTAATTAATTTGACCATGTATTTTGCTAACAGCATACCATGTCAATGTATCTATGCACAACTTTTAGTCGATTTCAACTGACTTATGAACTATCATCAGTTATGCCACTAGACAAAAAATATATGACTTAGGCTTTGACCTAATGGCTAAAGTTACAGGCTGTGAGAAACTTTCATTCTTATTATTTACTAACTCTTGTGAATTTCAGTTAGGACCAGAGTTTTCGTGTTTAACCCTGTTCAGATATGTATTATGTTTATATTCTTAATCGTACAAAACAGCTTAACAAAAATATAATTCCAATAAATCAGAGTTCCTAAATATCTGACAAATACAGATGGATGGACATACAGATGACTTGAATTTAATTTCTTTGTAACATTATAGATATAATGCATCCAATACTTTAATAACGATACACTACATCATGTAGGGGCTAACAAATGGACCAGGATGACATTTTCATTTTTCAATGTGCCTGCTATGAGGCCATGTTACAAAAAACATATGAATTCTGCCTGGTCTTTTAAAAGGCCTGATTGCTGCATCTTCCCAAGGCAAGGGAGTTAACTTACTATAAAAATCCAAACTGGGCTGGAATAATGGAGTTATATTTGTCAGGACTGACGAGACAAGGCATAGACAAATCAAAATCGCATTACGAAATCAGAGACCATATACCGGTATATGGTATCTGACGAATTCAACATTCGGTTCGTAAACTGCTTGAAGATTTTGGTCAATTGCATGGTTAGCAAAGCATGTGTACCGTCAACCTAATTAGTGTCAACATATATATTTTGCAAATCTTTCATCTTTTTAATCAAGGTGGCCACATGATTTAATGCCCTTCGCGAAGTAAGAACTGTTTTATCACAATATCGATTTTGATTATCGTTCAGATCGTCTTGACAGGGCACTGCCATTTTGTTTGAAGCAAATGTAAGTGATATGAGAGGTGGAATGTGATTGGTCAATTGGAGGGACATAGAAGGGACATAACTCGTAATAGCCACAGGTGGCGCTACAATCGAACCCAGAAATTTCAGCCTAGGGCGGCTCAGGTGAAAACTGGACTTTTAGTCAGTTAACTCCCTTGCCTTGGGGAGATGGAGTGCTTGGGCCATACATGCAAAGGTTTTGATTCTTAGAAAGTAAGACAGTATATTTAACTGGCTCATATAGGCCTTGCCAGCAGTGTTAGGTGAAGGAGTATGGTTCTGTAACCCTACTAGTAATATTCCATCATTACAGGGATCATCAGGAATAGGTTACACCTTGTACCCATGAGGGAAATCAAGCCCGGGTCTTTGGCATCACAAGCAATAGGCTACCCGACCCACCCTCCAGCATTATTGAATATTCTTGTGTATTGGTGAAGTGTTGCTAGCCTAGGTACTTAAAACGACCCGGAAACTTGCACAAAAAGCTAAACAGACACAATCTGACATAACACATCCCCAGGGGAAACGTTTCACATCTGTTTACATTTAATACAAGATATACTCAGATACAGACATAGACAGAATCCTTACACAATGTCCATGTAAAATATCTGAAGTAGGCCTACAGGACGACTTCCCATTCTGACAAATGTAGAAGCAGGTGGTTAGGCTTGGCCTATCTAAAATATGTTGTATGGAAAATAGCATATCTCCTGTTCAACATGCATTCGTAACCAACTCGTGTTATTCCGGGACAAGCCCAACAGCAACTCATGCCCCTCTCGTGGACATTTTTGTGACTGGGTTCCGTCTAAGCGCAAACAGCCCTTGTTAAAAGAATTGTCAACGCATTGCGTTATCGTTCACATATATTTCCCCCATGTCATATATATTCCAGATGTTATTTAAAACACATAGGGACTTACAGTATTTATACAGATGCAATACATTTTTAGATGGAGGACGTGTAAAATAAAAAATTATTCCTAAGGGGTTCTGTGATCGAAGTACTTGAAGTCATACACACATTCTGATTTGTTTGTCGTATTTTTTAACACATCATTCATCGATAGGGGGACGTCTTCTTGCAGGTCACGGAAAGAACCGAGTGGTGACGAATGTTCAACATGTTGACTGCATCAAATAGGTCATGAACTTGTACAGTGTTTGTTGATCTACAGGTGTAGGTAAGGAAGTTATTCAGGAAACATGATGCATGGTCACAGATTCCACTCACCAAGATGTGTAACGTGTGGATCAGGTTCCTTAATACTGAATATGTACGAGGCTCAAGGCCATTTCATCACTTTGTTGTGTTTTGGTATTATGCTTACAGTATACATTACCATGACCTGCTCTGTTGAAGGTAAGCCTGTGCATGCATTATTACATACCGTATTCGACGTATTAAGCGCCCGCTCTAATACGTGCCCACAGCGATATTTGCGAATATATTGGCTCGTGAACAATCCCAATTAGCCCCCCTTCCGATTGATCAAGGTACACATAACTTAATTATTCGTGTATAATACGCACTCGTGTGTTATATGCACCCTTAATTATGGGCAATTAAATCCTGGAAAAATATATCTGTCGCATATAAACATTTCAGGCTGCCAGCATAAATCATAAAATAAGAGCCCCCTATTTTTAATTTTGAGAGTGCCCTGGGTGCTTATTGCGTTGAATACGGTATGTGCGTTTTGTTTGTCTGTTGTTTAACACCACACTCAGCAATATTCCATCTATATGACTGCGGTCTGTAAATGATCGAGGCTGGACCCATCTTCCCGTGGCAAGGGAGTTAAGTGACTATAAAAGTCCAGTTTCCACCCTTGCCAAACTAGGCTGGAATTATGGAGTTATATTTGTCAGGACTAATGAGTCTATGCATAGTTCAATCAAAATCCCATTACGAAATCAACATTCGGTTCGTAAACTGGCTCTTACAACAAGCATAGTCAGTCGCCTTACATGTGTGTGGTGTTCAACCAGTCGTTAAACAGGTGCCCCATGCAGGGTTGTACGTGACACAGCAATCTTCTGTTTCCGATCCGAAATACTGACAATTGCAGGGCTTTCAGCCCTCAGCCCTTAATCCATGAGGGACCATTTGATTTTCTGGTTATGTGCCTGTGGGTGTGGGTGTGGGGTGTGGGGTGTGGGATGTGGGATGTGGGATGTGGGGTGTAAGGTGTGGGGTGTGGGGTGTGGGGTGTGGGGTGTGGGGTGTGGGGTTGTCGGGTGTGGGGTGTGGGGTGTAGGGTGTGGGGTGTGGGGTTGTCGGGTGTGGGGTGTGGGGTGTAGGGTGTAGGGTGTAGGGTGTGGGGTGTAGGGTGTAGGGTGTAGGGTGTGGGGTGTGGGGTGTGGGGTGTGGGGTTGTCGGGTGTAGGGTGTGGGGTGTGGGGTGTAGGGTGTGGGGTGTGGGGTGTGGGGTGTGGGGTGTAGGGTGTAGGGTGTGGGGTGTAGGGTGTGTGGTGTGGGGTTGTCGGGTGTGGGGTGTAGGGTGTGGGGTGTGGGGTGTGGGGTGTAAGGTGTGGGTGTGGCCCAAAATATATATTGTTCGCTGGCCTGTGTGTGTTGAAGCAGGAACAAAAAACATATCCTGTCTTTTGTCAAAATCAAAGGCCCCCGACTTCCAAGCATTAAATGGTGGTCCCCTTAGTTGCAAAGACAAGTTGAAAAGTTTTAAAATCATGCCCATCCCAAATTTTAACATGAGCTGTCTTTGCTAAACAATGAATGGGTAGTCATAAAAAACAAAATTTACTGTTTGCATATATATATATTGATGAATGTGTCCTTTGTGTATTGACTTGCGTTTTGCACTGGTATGTAAAGAGGTTGTAACTTCCTTGTTGCCTGAGGCCGGGTCGCAACAACCTGCCATTACCTACCCCCCCACTGAGACTTACCTTCGCCTGGAGACATGGAGGTGACTCAGCTGAGTCTGTGTATACTGACAACTGGGTTGCAGTGCATATCAAGGACAGGCCTACAACACTGCCTGCTCTGGTTGCGCTTTACTTCACATGAACAAGACGACTGATTCTTATCAAGTGGGTGACAGCATTTACGGAGCAGTTAAAAAATTTATGGCAGACAAATATCATACTTCCTTAATTTTGTGATAG